CCAAACTATTTCAATGTTTATCGAAGATTTACGAATTACGAAACATTTACCCTACATTATGCGAGTATGACGGACTAGCTTTATTTTTTTAATCACGGAAATCTATTCTATTTTTATAGTTTGTAAATTACTTCATTTCCGTTTCCCAATGATGTTGCGTTTCCACGTTATTATGTCTTGTACCTACTACGCCACTACGTGATCGATAATGAACTTCCTGTTGAGCGAATTCGCTTATCCGAACATGAAATTGTATTATTTCGGCGAGAAATGATAGATTGCGGGGGAAGTCAGTGAACCTTAGTTGCATAAATTATTTGTCCTTCGTTGACTTTTAAGTAAATGGAATTCTATTACACTGATGTATTTGAAGATTCGTTGGAGATGTACAAGCAGTGTCTAAGAGGAAATTCCAAGATCTAATGGATCCTAGAGTGCTCTAATGCTTGAATTTCTAATACGTACGTTTTTAAATTTGACTTTTTCACTTTACTTTGGCGTGTCGAGTACAAGAGTTTTATTTAGAGTATCGTACAAATTACAAGAAACATTTAATCGAATGGATCAGTCGTTGAAATTAATGCAGAATATGGTTTAAACGATTATAAAAAAATCTACAACCTTTCAAAATCTGAGCATAATGATGATAATACTTTACTTTGCTCCCATCTCGTTGTTAATTTCATCTATAGTTGTTCACCTTCGTGTTTGCCAACGAACATTTAAAATTTCTGTTTTATTCATAAGATTTTCAATTCGCATTTTCATTCGTATAATGATGTTTCCATAGATCTTCCTTACAACGAGTTAACCATACATCTTCGTATTTTTTCGATTAATTTCCATCATTATGCAATACAAAAAGAAACAAAACTGTTGGCTCGTGTTGACTCATTCCTGAAAAATGCAACGACACCTAAGGAAAACTTTTTCTTCTATCTAAGATTTTTTCTGTCTTGTCATCATCACCTACAATGTTTTTCAATTTCCATCATAAAAACTGATAAACTATCTCGCCTGCGACGCAATTCGCTACTATTTCAATAAAAACATTGAATAAGTAGGTGGTTAATCGTCATCTTGCAGTGTTTAATTACTTAATACCAATATCCATATGCAGTAGGATGATCATATTGTTGTTAAAGCCACTTGCATTAAATGATGATTTCACACTAATTTTCAAATGAAAATCTAGTCGTGCCGAGTTTTTGTTGTTTTTGCAGATTGTAAATATACGTTTGGCAAGATCGTTAGAAAAATGATCTTTTACATGCGCGTTATTTTCTTATCATCACGCTGTGGCTCTAATAATTTCGTGGTTCCCTTATTTTTTTTACAATTACAACAAAAGTCTATTAGCTTTATTTCTTTCTATTGCTGCTATCACAGACTAAAACCATATTACCATTTCGTGTGTTTCATTCGATATTTTTATAATTTTACTTTCTGATCACGGTGCTATGTTACGTTGTATCCTTTTACGATTTCACTACGTGCGACTGTATTAAGGAAATTTAAGAAAACCGTTTATCAAAATTAAAGGTTTACGAAGATACGATAGCGAAGAGAAGAAGAGAATGAAATTATGTATCAATTTCTATAAAAATACGATCAATTACGCTTTCTTGTTCCTACGCGAAAAACGTTATTATTAGCTCAAGTATACAATGCCTGATGTATACTGAATAATTGCACATGCTTATTCATAAGTCTTTTTACATTTATAAGAGTTACATTTCCGATCATTAGACTGCGGTCGTTTATGCAAATGCATATTTTTACGAACAAGGATATTTCCGCAGATATATTCCTTTTTTAGCTACTGAATATATTACAAGGACGACTGTGTTTTGAATATTTTTTACATTTTTATTTATTTTGTACATCAGATATCTATATATTGCCCATAAATGTTGTAGCATTACATTTCCCATAAAGATACACGATCTACCGATCACCGTGCATTATGCCGACATCAGAAAATCCACTTACGATATAACCATTATCAATTCTTGCATAAATGTAGGATTACAATACAAAACTATATATTTACTCATATCTCGTATCTATCCTACGAGATAATTTGATATTTTCGTAAATAATTTTTAATTATATATTCGTGCATTTTATTCTACATAGGAACAAAATTCTGATTATGCGGAAATACGAAATGACCTCGTAAAGAAAAGTAAAAAGAGAAAGAGAGAGAGAGAGAGAGAGGATAGGATAAAAATAGCCATCCTTCGCCACGGAAAGAAACCTCGCAAATTTACTGTATCGCGTATAATTGAAATGATTTTTACGAAAAACGTGCGTACACGTGGAGCGAACGTGCTCGAAAAGAAGCAAATGTTCGCAGGGAAGCATATGCACGTGATGTATCAAGGTAGAAATAGTATTTTGACCCTGTCCTTCGACGACGTCGTCGAGTATCACGAGCCGGTTGGCCGGTTTTTCGTTTGTCCGCGTCCCTTTCTTGGAAAACAGGCAACGACCAGCAGTCGTTGCTAGAGGAAAGACAATACGCATTTAGAATATTAGTAGATCGAGGTAGCGTAGTCGTGGTTTTCAGCGCGTCCGCCACATTGAAACGCGTCATAGAGATGATTTATCCATTTTGATTCTTCGAGAGCGTATCTGTTCGATGAAATCAACGCTATGGAGCGACGAAAGGGAAACAATGCTCCGTTATTAGGATCTCTTCATCATTCTGCATATAAACGACCGACAGAGATTTAAATAAGAAGAGAATATCTTCGTATTTAGATTTGCTTGATTTAGGAATTTTTAATGAAATTTTGCTTGAACGTAAAAACATACTGTCCCCTATAGATAAGCAATCATTTAAAAAACATTTCATTTACCAAATTAAAATTTAATCCCGAAAACCTATTTAGAAGTAAAATTTCACTTGAGACTCTTCGCCAAATTAAATATGAATAACAAGATAGGTTGCCAGCTTACTTGAATTCGTATTTGTGAATAATTAGCAAAAACAGGTTTCTCCCAGAAGTGAATAGCGATTTTTAAAAGAAAAAAAGATCGTAAAAAAAAAAAAATAAAGAAGAAAACAAATAAATCTAATATATCTTAATCGGACTATTTATGAGTAAACGGTTTAACGTTGAAAGAATTAATTGACAATTTGAAAAATAGAATCGAAATGGAGTTTGCCAAATTTCATTAAAATTTCTTGCCGAATTCTATAAACGTTTGTGAAATATAATTAAATGTAATACAGTTTTGGCAAGGACGCCTATTTTTAACTATTTACTATAACGAGTTATAAAATTTCAGCAAAGATAAACGATTCTCCGTTAGTTGTAATCTAACGTTATTTACTCCAAAGAAGAAAACTCTCAAAAACGGTATTTTATGTAACGATAATTTATTTCAATTATATTATAATTTAGATTATTAAAAATAACGCTTATTTCTCTGGATATGTTTTAACGCTTCTTATATAATATTACACATAAATAATAACAAGTTTACGTATAAATATGAATCAATGTATCGAGCATTCCTCCAGAAAAAATTTCAGCAAAATGTCATGGAAATATCAAAATAATCATAAAGAAAATTACTGTTGAAAAATAAGAAATAAATGGTCGATATTGAGAGAAAAAAAGTTTCGTGTCCCCTACTGTTTAATTTCATTCGTGTTTCTTTCCACTATCATATCCAAAAGCAAACGCCGAAAACGAATACTTTCTCGTTAATTGTAGGATTGCGTTATAAAAATTGCCACCTTCGAATCGTGTTGTTCGAGTTAAACCACAATAAGAACATAAACTCAAGGAGTACCAGTGTCTTTATCTGCTTCTTTAAAAACATGAATTATTGATTATCTTTTTTATAAACGTTGGCAGAAATATTATTTACATGTATTTATGTGTGTATTAATTTACACGTGAAAATATTCTTACAACTATAGTACTTTTATTCATGTAAATAAATATTTTATGATTAATCGAGGAATACTACAACATCTTAGATTAAGAATACAAATTTTCCTGCATCTTATCTGTTATAACCTGAATAATTCTTGTGTGCAATATATATACCTATGTATATTTTATATATATTTTATGTCGTGTAATTAACAATCATATCCGGTTTGGTACTTTCTCTGTTTACTACATTGGAACGAGTTAAAAAAATCGGAAGTTTAATTTTTCTTCTGGACAAGATCGAAAAAATGATCTGAAGGTAACGAGTTGTTTCAGCGACAAACAATGTCATTTACGATTAAAAATTAACAAATATTATTTTTCACCTTTCTCCGTTCTTTGCAGACGTGATACGGTGCAAAAGTGATACGGTTTTTATTACAAGAAGAGAATATCTTCTATCCTTGTACAACGTACAAATATTATATTTCATATTATAAGAGAAGACATGGAAAGGAAAAACAGTGAAATTAAGTCATCTTCAAACGATCAACCGATCGCATTGTAAGTTTATTTTGTCATTTCGTGCGCATGATTCGATATTAATTAGATCATGTGACCAATCATATTGGTAATTTCATTAATTTTCCTCGTCTGCCATCCGAGGAACAATGACGGGCGTGCATAATCATCTTCACGAAAGGCTCCGGAACTTCGGAACGTCGCAAACGTCGAAATCATTAATTATTCTTCTCGTTTCTTCTATTTTGTATAGTTTCCACGAACTCTATTAAAAGTCACGACACTCGTTCATTGAAATTGATAAATTGCAAGATGACAAATAGACTCGCTTGTAACGAGACGTTTCATTGAAGAAATTATTAAATTTAGTGAAGCAAGCAGCGTAATAGTTGTCATTTATCTTTTACCGTGTGTTGCATTAAATTTCTATTCAAATATCATGAATTGTTAATACAATATAATTAGCTTAGTTAAATGGATTGTAAATATTACAAATGCGTGAAATATCATGTAAATGGAAATAGCACGAGTTAAATATCGACTATATACAATTTTAGAATTTAAAACGTTAACTTGGAAAACATTTTCCGATTCTATATTTAAGGCTATTAAATTTTGTATGTATAGTAGCTACGAAAAATAATTACGCGCACCTTTACTTCTCAATGATGCACTTTTCATCGGGTTTTACATTTCGTTTTCGTAATATTACATTTTTGCACTCGTATGAAAGTTTTACCAAATAATACGAAATTCCATATACCTGGACATAATTAATTAGTACGTAAATATCATAATAAACACAACGACACGCAAATACCTTTCGCAGACGCTGTGGATTCATCTGTTTGAGTTTGAAAAATGATGACTTTTCGCTTATTTCGTTAACAAACGTATGTGACAAAAGTGAACGGTGCTTTCTCGTATTAAATGTGTAAGTTTGCCGTAATGTTATAAACGATTATTTCTTCAAACTGCCTTCTTCTCTCTAATATTCTATTCGTCGACGTACTGAGAGGATTTTAAGATTGTATACGTTCTAAATACGAAACGTGTACACGTATAGTGAATAATTCATAAATCATAGGATTTTCCTTCGTGGAAATTCCTATTTTAATATGTAATTAGCGATTGCAATTTCGATTCATTTTACACGTGTTATTTGCAATCATACATACATATGTAACGACCATTGCATCATAATTCTTAAATACCAGAAAATAAACTGTTTTTAGCTTCGTATTAATAACGTCGTTCGATCTGTTTTTCAGTTTAAAATAGATTTGAAAGCTCATTATAGAATTCGGTAGAAACGAAATAGTTAAAACACATGGGAGAATATAAAACGAATGATAACACGAAACATGTATAACACGAAGCAAGGTATACAAAAATATATTGTGTGAAGCACACGTTATAAACTAAAAAATGAAAACGGAGAAAGCTGCGATCGTTACGAATACCAATTTACTGGCACGATAAGAATATTAAACGATAATTCAGCTTCCGTCATTCTCATTCTTCAGTTAGTCATAAATAATCGTAACAATGCAATCGATGAACACGCGAATACGTAACATAACGTGATTAGTCCAATTCGATGGCATTTAAATTGTTATTGCAAATCATCCATTCCTTAGAACTATCATACATACACTTACATAATGTCTACAACATTTTACATTCGTATAAGTGACATAAATAATGCGAAAGTAAGCTTATCAGGTTGAAATGTCTTAAGTTCGAATTACTTCAAGATTCGAAATTATCGCAGCTCGACTAATTTAATCTTATGTTTAATAAAAAACTGTAAAAGTTAACTGTATAACTTTAATCTCAGCCACGGTACGTTTTACACCACAATACAGCTGCTTTATAATAATAAATGCAGGACACTATCTTATGAAAATTAGCAAAATTATTAGCAATAGACTGGCTTTCAACATTGTGATTCTCAGTCGTCGATTTTAACAAAATACAAATTTAAATACAAATTATATACAAATTAATAAATATTTATAAAACTCAATTTTGCTGCCCATTTCATCCGTTTCCTAGTGGACAAAAAAATCTTCTAAAAAAGAAAAGAACATAAAGATAACATTTTCGTCGTTGTATCTTTCGTATGCATAAACTTCTTATTTTTTAATCGATGCGTCGCAAGATATTTGGTGATCCTTTTTCCTTAAGTGACTATCGACAGATATGATGCAATTTTAATCGATTCAATCGATGATCCACGCATCGTACGGTACCTGAGCAAAGATCCTCTCAACGAAGCTTGTCATTACCTGAACTAATTTCCTCCTTAGATCAGGTTTCATCTCTTTTAACAATTCTTGGCTGTTGGTATTAATGAAGAGATTCAATGCTGCCACTGAAATAACATAGAGAAAGAAAAACTCTTATTAAACATGATTAAACAGGGTAATTAAGATTGTTTGAGATCGACTTTAACGCTCACATCCGATAGAACCAAGATTTTATGTAAGCTTATATGCATAATACCACGATTTTCATGAATGTTTACATGTACATACAGCATGTTATACATACAGCAATTTACTCGTTGATTTCCATCAAAAACTGATTGCTTAGATAGATATTCAGTTGATTTGTAGAAGAAGAACACACCATTAGGAAGACTAAGATAAACTTAAAGTAAATTACTAATAATTATATCATTTGGTGGTGAAGAAGATTCTCCGCTTTTGCCGTTTACGTAACAGTCTCGCTTAGTAGTTAAACAAAGAAATAAAATAATGTTTTACTTCTAACGTTTTTCTTATTTTAAATATCCTAATTCTATCAAGTAAGACGACTCTGTTGTTGGAAGAGTTCGCTTTTAGAATGAATTTTTGAGAAAATCAAGAATCTTTTAAATATACATAGATATGTACGCTTAATACGCGTATGTCGTTCTTCTAGCAAACTGACTGTAAAGATCTCTATCGATATATTCGTCACCCTTTTTACAAAATTGCCAACGCTATAATCCATTCGATCAAAGGTCGATCAAATTTGAAACGTAGTTTTTACCGAATTAAATTACATTTTGAACAGTTAAAACTTAGTTAAGATTAGTGCATACATTTGCGTGATTTAATCCATTAATTCTGTAGGAAAAAACTTACGAATAATGGCGTTGCTGTCACGAACATTTTCGACGCCCATCTTAATATTCTGCACGCTAAAGTCCATTTTAAGTTGCTGCAACCTTAAATAATTGCGACCTTGAGCAGCGAATGGTTTCGCCCGGATGAATACTTTTGCCTTTACACCTTCTGTAATCATAAAAAGATTTGCTTTTAAATCTAAGTAGATCTTTTTTTTATGTACTTGACAGGTAGAATTCTAAACAATTTTTTTTCCATTAATCACAGAATTTATACGCTTATAAATCCTGCAAAAATTATACTATTTCCCTACCAATAGCAAAAATTTATGTTTGAAGATCTGCACATTGGCCAAGAGGTTTGCGCTCTGCGTTGCAAACAGCAAAGTGCAATTATACCAAACTGGTTGCATTCTACAAGGCGAATTAATTAGAGGTCAACGTTACCATTCGCGCGAAGATAAGCTCAGTGTCTCTCACGATGCACACATTGTCCATATCTTTTTACGTTTCTTTAGATAAACATTTTGTGTCGCATTAAAAGAAAAGAACTTATATTTTTCACACTTTTTCAACAATTTATTACCATATTTTCATTGAAAACTATCTCTCAATACTTTGAAATGAACGAATGTATGATAAATTAAAAATGTATACACAGGGTGGTTGGTAATTGGTGGTACAAGCGGAGAGGGGGTGATTCTACGCGAAAAAAGAAGTCGAAAATATAGAATAAAAATTTTAAAAATTAAAAAAATAACGTCAATCGGGACAACGATCTACAGTGAGATCCGTTATAACGAGACGCGATAAAGTGCACGCGTACCGACCGAAAATTCAAAGTCGATTTTCTCGAAAACAAAGCCTCGAACGAAAAATTTTTATTGTATATTTTCGACTTCTTTTTTCGCGTAGAATCGCCCCCTTTCCGCTTGTACCACCAGTTACCAACCACCCTGTATATGTATACAATTCTGAATAATTTTGTTGTATAAATAAATAAATCGACTATAGGATTATTGTATCATTCATATTTGTATCTTACGTATGCCGAATTTTTGAAAGAATTTTTAAATTCTTATGTGAATTAATTTTTCCGAGTAAAAGAATACCAGCCTTTTGTTTTCTCTTCTAAAAACGGGTGTTGTATTACGCAAATGAAGAATCTTTAACATCAGTGTTTATGTACTTTTCCAATTCATTACAGATACTTCATTGCTACTCAATCTTCCGGTACTGGAAGATAATTTTTAGTAAAAGAAAATTTTTTCTAAAAATTTTTTCTGTTTATATGGAACAATGTTATCGTTAAAATTATCGTTTCTATAATTAAATAGACATTGTTGCGAATTCGGCACAGTATTGCCTGCGGTACGGAACATAAAAATCAGCTGAAAACAAATTTCCATTACGTCGATGGTGAAAGTTGAGGACGCTAGTGACTTTTACCTTTTCACTTAGCCCACGATGTTCCACCATCGCTGTTTATTTATCTCTTCAATTATAATTGCTCACCGTCACAACCCGCTTCTACTCGCAGCCATCTAATTGATACTTTATCTCATGAGTAACCCATTTGAACTCGAAGCATTTCACTCGAAGTATCTATTCTACGGTTCATCGTAGTATTCTACGGCTCTTGCAATTGTAACGTTCGATAGTTTACCAATGTTGGTACGATAGGCAAATTTAACATTTCGATAATTAGATTAACGTTATTTAACCCAGCAATCGAAATTCAATCTTACGTAGAATACAGGAAAATTTACCATCTATACGGTTGCAAATTTCTGATATTGCAATTCTTAACGATAATTCGACTATCGGCAAAGCAAAAGTGTTGGCAATCTTTACGATTCGTCTTAACTACACCGATCAGGGCCGGCGCAAGGCAGGTTCAACGCGTTTGCCGGAACCCGGCCCCGCGTTTTGAGAGGCAGCGCAATTAAAAAACACCGATTTTGATTAACTTTTTACAGGATGACGATACCATTAACAGATGCAAGACATTTTTTTAGTAGCGACGATTCAGTTTAAAGGAGTGACAAAAATCATGACGGTTTAGTGTAACTCCATAAAGTCCTCGTATCCTGGATTCTACTTTAGATAAAAAGATCCAGGCATTTTCAGAGAAATGTACTATTTTGGGGAAATTAAACTACATCAATGGTTTTTTGCAAAAGTCATACACGATTACAAATTGTCTACTTTCGTTGAAGTTTTTGTCCCTTGAAAGCGAATTAAGCATGCGAGAAAATATTATTCGGATTTGTTTAAAAAAATGCTTATAACAAATATATAATACGTAACAGCATTCGTAAATAAATAATTGCTCGTTGTAAAATTTAAGCGTAGGATTTGAATGTGTATTCAGGCCCCGCAAACGGGCACGCCGTCCCTGACACTGATATTTGCTATATCAATATACAGGGTGGTTGGTAACTGGTGGTACAAACGAAAAGGGGGTGATTCTACGTGAAAAAAGAGGTCGAAAATATAGAATAAAAAATTTTGTTTAATTCCTTTTTTTTTTTATTTTTCCATCGAGACAACGATCTACAGTGAGATCCGTTATAACGAGACGCGATAAAGTGCACGCGTACCGACTGAAAATTCAAAGTCGATTTTCTCGGAAACAAAGCCTCGAACGAAAAATTTTTATTCTACATTTTCGACTTATTTTTTCGCGTAGAATCACCCCCTTTCCGATTGTACCCCCAGTTACCAACCATTCTGTACACTTTATTACCACGTTAATAATCAGTAAATATCACAGATTACCATTACATTCTCCATTGATAATTACATTAAAAATAACTATCGTTCCTTACCATATTCACCCCAATAGTCACCAGCACCGCTGGCTTTCACCAACAGCAAGGTACCGCTAGACCTGTACTTGGCAGCAGCTCTGATTTTCGGAATGCTGAGGGCTAATTGCAGCTGCACCTCGTCTTCCGATAATCTGGCCCTCAAACCAGTCACTCGTAACGTAGAAACTCCTCTTGCTGTAATGTTCTTAAACTGAGCCCTGTAGCCATCCGGTCCCCCACCAAGTGCGATATGGAGTTCGTCAAGGATAATGGGTTCCACCTCTGGATAGCCCAATTGCGGTAAACCTGAGGTTCGATAATCGCTAAATTAACACGTTCGATCTGTATCAGGCAGTTTGAAGTTAATTTCGTATTTTCTTTGGTTATCGTCGAAATTAGGAAATTTAAATATCGTTTAAATATCGAACGATGCGAAAGAAAATTTTGGAATGGTTGAAAATACTCGAGAAAACTGATGTGTTTCGATTTATATTTAGAGAGATCTTTTTTCCATTTCACGTGTTGCAGATGTGAACGAACGTCAATTTTGTGCTTATAATTAAAAGGAACGGCGAAAGGAGGAAAAAGATTAATCGATCGATTACAGCTCTGTCTACGTTCGTTTATTGTTATATCATTTATCAAGAATAGCGAGAAAAAAATTCTTATAAATGTCAGATAAAGATGAACGCTTCGATGTTAAAAATTGCTGCGATGTTTTATTCAATGTTCTCGAGTAAACCGAGCCTATTCCATCGTACGCGTAGTTCTAGTGGAATGTAGGACACTGGGTGACCATTCGAATACACCGTTATAACCTGCTTCTTTGGCGCTCGATGTTTCTTTTTTTCACTCGTTCTCAACGATACCACGTGCTCCCGCAATCTGTAATTCCCGACTTTCGACTTCCGTATTTTTCACCGCATGACACGCGAATCCTACTTTTAGAAAATGGGTCTACGGATCTCGGGCAAGTGTGTAATGCAACTTGGTCACTGCGATCTATCAGGTGTCTTGCGGCGAATGATCGAGAGAAAAGTCACAGATTCGAGATACGAACGAAATTTAGAGTCGAACGAAACGATCGAAATAAAATTTTATCGGAGAACGTGTTTTTTCATATTTTCAGAAAAGAGTTTGTTAAGGGTAGGAGAGAACAATTGTTTATTTGCAAATATATTTATAAATATCGGAGAAATTATTTTGATACATTTGGAAAAAGTAAGATACCTTTACGTAAGCGATCATTGTACCTTTTAAAGTCTTATACGTATTAAGCAAGAACTCAACGTATACGAGATTAGTGTATGTTTAAGTAACGATAAATAAATCGGAATAAATCGAAATAAATCGTAAAACGTGTAGACGATTATCGACTTATCAAATAACAGGTAAAATGTCTGAAGATAATTAAACTAAACATTTGTTTAACGATTAAACTTTACAGTTTAGTTCTAGAGTTACGTTAATTCCGCAATTACGTAATTATGCGTAGTAGAATATCGATATTCCCATGAGAATTTCTACAAGATAGGTACCGTTAGAAGAGGATTTTGATCCCGGCACTCTTCCCGAGGTAGTCTCTGTAGCAACACTAAAAAGTGTAAAACACGCGTTCAACACTTTTTCAAAATCCTGCTTTCGCTAAAAATTTATAATCCGAAGGATATTCGACAAGTATAATTTTCCTATCTATTTTAAGATTTCTGCTAACAAACGTTTAATCGATATATTCCGTTAAAAACCTAAATACACGCGGATGATAAATATTAACAATATTAAAAATCAGACGTTAATCTAGGTTAAATTAATTATTCCACTAAACTTGGCCAAATAGTTTAACGCAAATAATTTCTTACCATGCCGGAAGTGTTCGGTGAGAGCATTGGCTGACCTAGCGAGGCAACTCTCGATATTGTAGTCCCTGCTGGAGCAAGGTTCTAAAAATTCTAATCCTCTGTATCTACCGATGGCCTGTACGCCGATCAGCAACGAACACGCGCACACCAACAAGATGCTCTTCATCGTTGTCTTCGGTTTCAGATCGTTGGCTCCTGTATGTCGACGTTCCCCGAACCTTCTCCGTGTCGATCGAATTTCTCCGCGTGGAATGACCGACGGTCAGGGATGCGCCAAGCCTTATAGCACCTTGACATTGCCCCCGCTTTGCCTTCGACGCTTGTACACGAAGAACAAAACAGAATCCAACGATGGATCGAGCACCTCCCTTTTGAAGGACTTTCTTCGATGTCGAAATTAAGCACTGACGAGTTGTTTGTGAATTAAGTTCCGAAAACATTGCGTTACACGGGTTTCGTAGAGGTATAGTTATAGATAAGCAAATCGATTAACTCGACGAAACGAAAGCTAAAGAAAATCGACGAAACAAAAGGTAAAGAAAATCGACGAAATTATATTAGGACAAGCATGGGTCAAGTGCTTTAGCATTGCATATGGTAACATGTTACTTTCTATTAGTATGTAACAGAATATTCTTGTATTTAACGCGGTGTTCGTTTATTTTACTATATTGATATTTGTATACCGATATTGATACCGATACAATAATGTATTTTTCAATGCGCGTAAAACAACGAACAGACTTAACGCAATGGTACAGAGGTTTTTGAAAGAGTTCAGAAATGACACAGTCGAAAGTCAACGTCGGTAAAACAGCGCCGCTGGTAAACGATAGCACCGCTGGTGACTTCAACGCGCGTATAAAGAAGCAACCGTTAGGCTTCGACGATTAGATCGCGGACTAGAATTTTTAAACCTACAATTTTCTTAATTTGTACAATGCTTTTTCTAAACTATTTACGGTTATTTAGAAATTAATTGTAATACGAAAAATTATCCGTTACAGAAATGAAATTAGCATAGATATAGCGTTTTCTTCTGCAAAGCAAAGTATCCATTGCATGCATTACAATATTAAGCGTATATTATAAATTAGTATCGTATTAATATATTTATTTTGTTCGAATTTATTTTGATGTTATTTAAAAAGAAAAATTGTAATTGCAAACGATCCTTATTTTACAAAATTATTATAGCCGCGAATGTCGTATATCGATACATGGAAAATAAAAGCTGGTAAAAAGATTTCGTCTTCTTCAGGATTAATTTCGTTCAGGATCGTTACGTTGTATAGAGGTCGATGTTTACAGCGTTTCTCGTGATGGCGTTAGAAAGCGCAAGCTGGTCTCCGAAGAAACAATTCTCATAAATTCGTACTTTCCTCCTTCTTTCTTCTCTGAAAGCATTGCATCGACGCGATCGATACAGAGCACGATACGTGTTAATTATTTTAGTGGCTAACTTTCTCACAGTTTTCATAGTCGCGACTTTCTTCTACGCGTGGAAAACGATAGAGACGAACTGATATACGAAAAGTGGCGCTAATCACCGACATTGTCGAGATTCTCACGAATTTCTAGTTACAACTAGGCATATGGCTTAACAAAGTAGATAACAAAGTATCTTGGAAACACGGTTTGTCGATGAACTAATCTTCCCTTGAGAAGCTTGCTGATCTTCGAAGTAAATGGCAATTTTCTACAGAAAGAAATTAATTTACAGAAATTAATTCTCTGGAAGATTGTTATCGTTTCGAGAACTATGATAGTAAAGTTTCTGATCCTCTGCGAAGGAATAATTCGTTTTAAAAATAGCTTCAACTTCAAAAATATAACATAACTTTATTACAATACAATATAACCAACAATATTTATTTAACATACGTTAAAACACCGAACACATTTATATATTACTAATATATACGGAACACATTTATTATAACGAACGATAAAAGTTTGATCAAGGTACGATGAAAGTAAGCGGATGTGAATGGTAGACGTCAGAGAAGTTGGCGCGTTTAGCGAAGAATGTTAAGCACCGTTAATAAGCACCGTAACTCGTGCTCGCGATAGGAATCGATCATGATCGAGCGTTATTAACCGTAATGCTTTCGTACGGTGTTACATTATACGCAAACGCACGAATCTAAAATATTTGAAATCTTAAGATTAACGATTCGTAATAAAATCGTATTAGAAACAACGATATCTTTTAGAAGCGATACTTTAGCAGCGATATTTTTCCGAAGTTTAATCGCGTTTCCCTGACTATCGTACCTTCTACCCCTATAAGAATCGAAAATTTGAGAGTAGAGTAAAATTACTCGTAATTAATTCTACAAGTAGATAACCAGTGAGATTTCTATGGCTGGAAATAAGAGGAGAACGAAGAATAACAAAATTACATCGAATGTTTCGTTTTTTAAAAAGTCAAGTTTTTCCAATTCCAAACATATCGTCGAATTAAAGAACGATTCAACTTTAATCCACGAAGATCGTTCGATAGAAACCGTACAAGATGGTCCATTTATTTTTCGTTACAAAAAGAGACAACGACGTTTCGCAGGGGCATTTTCAAAGTCGGTACCTCTGTTACCTAATGTCTTCCTTTTAACGCAAATTATCGACAGTGTCCGATGAGAGTCGACGCACCATGAGAATGCGAGGTCAGAGACCGTCAGCCTCTCAAGGCGAACAGCTATCCTGACAGAGGAAGAAAGTCTCGTGTTCGCTTCGTTACGTTCGTTAGTACGAACGGAAGAAGAGAAGATTCGCGATTTCCGAGAAGCTCTTGAATAATCCTTGAATCGTAATTTGCTATCGTAAAAAGCCAATTGTGTGGTCTTACTCAATGGACATGTCGATAGATACGATCGAAGAATAGAAGTTACGAGTAGAATAGATGTATCGACCGATGGGATTTTTCATTCGATGAATAGCCAATAAAGAGATGAAAATTCAGTTTCTCGTTCGTATGAAACTAACAGGTCTGAATATTTGCGTTAGACCGCGAAGAAAATAGAAACACTTGAAAAAGAGGAATAACTAGAATTAATTGCATTATCTGTTGCAAAATTGTCTGACAAAAGATCAGGAGGTGGAGTAACTAAAAATACGTAAGAGACAACCAGGAAATAACTATAAATTTGTGTTTGCTTTTAAAAATTCAATCAGCCCTTTCTACTTCTCTTAAAATCGCTATTTTCTACGTATCAAACGTTTACGGAAACCTATAATTTCCGTATCCTGGTTTTTTATCGGAACGTATAAGTATGTCATTCGTGATTCATTTTGTATGAAGACTTTCTTCAAGAAAATGAAAAAATCCACGTTTAGTTTAGAGAATTTGCAGTCTTCTAATTAGAATCTCGCTTTTTACATAATAAACACATCTCTTCTTATCGATCTCACTTGTATAAGTAATCGATATTCTCCGAATTAAAAAGAATCTAGCTGATTTGTAATTATCTTTCTTTTGCCTCACACATGAGATTCGTATCCTTCTTTTTCACTTATGTTTTATCATTTTCCCCCTTTCCTACTTCTTACAAAACGTGTATAAAATAAAATCAAACGATAAAGAAATATTTCTGGCAAATACCAAAGTGTCGACCAAAAATACAAAATATCCAAAAATACGAAGTACCAAGTGATGCCCAAAAGTATTCACCAGCTTCTTCGATAAAATTATATCGAAATCTGTAAACACGTATGATTCTTTATGAAAGTCTCGTGTAAAATATAATTTTTTCGATCTAAAGTTCAAATGCGTCATAAATCGCGAAGTAGTTTTAAAATAAAACTAGATAACGTAAACTGCATAATGAACTATTTTTACCAACACATAGAACAGTATAGAGCACATATAGAACAGAAAGAAAATAATTTGGAAGCTACTTAGATAAATTTCTATTCTTCGTATTAAACGAGCCAAAATTAAAAAGTTACAACTTCGATATCACAATCGTCTTTATCTCTCGAAAATTACATTTTACAAAAGAATTAAACAAAGAATCGTGACACAACCCTCGCAGAGTTATCTCGTAGGTCTCGGTTTGATGATTTTGTCGAAAGGAAAATTACGAAAAGAGCCGTCAAAAATCTCCGTGTACCCTTTCGAAACGAGTTCGTTGATTATACGTCTAGTAAGCACGAATCCTGGCTGCCACGAGCCATTTATTATTTTATCGAGAATATTCTCGAGTACTTTATGACCGGATAGCAAATTTGTGATATGAAGCTTCAAATCCCCGATCTGTTGTACATCCACATCGACTCGAATCTTTTGTCCTGGTTTTCTGGTAACGACGGTCGTTTGAAAGTAATCATCTAAGAACAAGACAGACGAGATAATTTTATATTTTTCGTGCATGTTAAATTACTCTGAAATCGTTCGCAGATAAAAAGGTAATATCGAAACTCTGTCTTACAAAGATCCAACGTGAATTTTCCCTTATTGTTTATACTGGAGCCTAGTGCTGTCCCTTTAAACTCATACCAACCTGACAGGAATTTTGCTGGGAAACTCTGAGTGTACACTATCTAAAAATTAATATCATTTTTTAATTAATAGTCACTAGTAACTAGTATCGCAGTAAATCTTCGTCTTTCTCTTTGCGATTGTTACGTTAGTATCTATCGTTTGTATTACGAAAGAGATAGACAGTTTCGACACTGTAAGAGAGGTAATCGCGTTGAGACGCACTTTGAACCGATTTGCAGAAACTTTGAAATTTCGATACAACGATTTACAGACGGCCAGTGTGTATTTTTATTAATTTGCAGCTGTAGCAGCGCTGATAGATTGCCTTCGAGTCTTTAAAGACCATTGCAATAAGAAAGATAAAGATCTTATGTTGGAAACATTTCGAAAAAGGAAAAGTTGGAACTACTATGCTTTCTACTACTTGGCTTTAGTGCTTAGACATCTTTGCTTACCTTGTAATTCGGTATGTCACTGACGAATTTCGTCACTTTACTGTTAGTCCATCCACTCTCGGTAACGTTCCTTAGCGTTAAGGTAAAGCCTAATTTGGCATTTCCGCGTGACGCTGATACTTCTTTGGCGAAAAGTGGATCAAAGGTGACTACATTGTATTGGGGAAGGCCAGTTTTGAAGTAAGGTCGAACCGCGTTTAACGCTTCTCGTATGCATCCATCGAATCCTGGCACATTTGGATGACAATTCTTGAAATAGTCCTCTGAAAAAAGAAAGTACTGTTAGAGCGCTGTAATTGAAGAAATCCATTAAAACTTGCACAACTGAAATAAACCTCGCGTAGGATTTCGAATTCTTAATAGAAAAAAAAAAAGAAAAAAAATATGAAGCTCGATACGGCGTTTTAGATTACCTGAACTAAAAAGGAGAAGATAAACTGGAAACATGAAAACCATAGGATTATGTTACCATTTTAAGTATACAGTAATCTAGTTCGTAATAGTTTCAACGTGTTTGAACGTGTTTGATGCAACATGCAATTATGAAAATTAGAAGAAAAAAAAGCAGATATAAAGTGTTATCGTGGTATCAATATCGTGCAATATTCTAATTATTATTTCAATAAAAAACAGTAACAAGATAGGGGTAGGGGGCATTACTTATAAGGGGGGGGGGGTGAGAGAATACGAAATTACCATTTAGAAACATGTTAGTAACAGATGTAAATAATTATTATTCTAATCGTAAAATAGGTATTAATCGGCTGTACTCTCCGATACTTTTCTATTTCTTCTGAAAAATAGCAATTCTCTTCTAAACAACGTGAAAATAGAACGAAACACTCCGTAGGCTTTATTATTCTTCGAATACCACAAGGAAATTATAATATATATCAAATGCTGTTTTCCTCTTTCGCAACAGACCGTCCGTTCACCCCAATTTCCTTACAATTGTTCCGAATCATTTGAGAAAATTTCACTCGCATCGCTTACGCTTCATTGCATTCCTTAGGGCCCTATCAATATACAGGGTGGTTGGTAACTGGTGGTACAAGCGGAAAGGGGGTGATTCTACGCGAAAAAAGAAGTCGAAAATATAGAATAACAATTTTTCGTTCGAGGCTTTGTTTTCGAGAAAATCGACTTTGAATTTTCGTTCGGTACGCATGCGATACGTTATAACGGATCTCACTGTAGATCGTTGTCTCGATAGAAAAATTAGAAAAAGAAATTAAGAAAAAATGTTATTATACTTATCTATAATAAGTATTAACTTATTAACTAAAAATTACTGAAAATTCTCAACGCGAGAATTGATTGTAATTTTAATAAATAAAAAAAAAAAAAATGTTTACCAACCACTCTGTATATTGTCACTATTTCGAGATTGTCGGCTAAAAGGATCAATATGTATTGTCAATATTTATTGATAAACCACATTTTCATCGAGAACCTTGAAATATCGAGGATATTATCGATCGCCTGAGGACGCCTTAGTTTTCGTCCATAAAACTCGCACCGTTATTAGTTTAATCAATTACTCATTGTTTAATCGCAATAAACTTTCTTATCGATTCGCTAAATACATTAATATTTTGTTCTTATTATCTTTACTTTATAATCTTGTTATTACTTTAATGGAAGCATTGATGATAATAATAGGTTGGCCCATGGTGAAAGTCGTGTTATTCAATATCGTGGTAATATTTTAACGAGGCATTTTTCGAAACCTTCTCTCGCGTAACTCGTCAAGATGTTACGTGAAAACCCGTAAAGAGAAACAACGAACATCGCGAGCAAATAACAATGAAGAATTGCGAAAACTGCATTGACGATTTTACACTTTACCTGTACGATCTTAGCCAACGTAATTTTACTCGCACTGGCAGAAACATGAATATCATTTCCTTTTCTTTTCTCTACTCATAAGAGAAAAACCAGCAAAATACTACTCAGCCAAATAAACAACAATATTCCGTATATAAAGAACCATCGTGCAAGAAACGAAACTCTAGTAATCCCAAAAGGAAGACGATAAGCTACCGAAAAAAATTAAAGCTACTGCTACTATCGAACCGATCTGCAATTAATTCTTCCAATTATTCCTAGCAATACGATCGATTCTAATCACCAATCGATCCTTCGGTCCATCGAATCCGCGTATCATACCAATACCAATAACAGCACTGTTTCGAGAAAACGAAAATGTCTGGATGGAAGAAATTCAACTTTGAAATGCCATTCGCTTACCAAAGTCTGCACTTATCGATGATGCACAAAACAAGGAGATGAATATGACGAAAATCTGGATCGGCGATGACATCTCGACGATCGATAACGTGTTGCTGGTGCAACGCGTTCGCGACCAAACGCACGAAAAATGTAATTCCGAGCAACGCGAACGATGCTTACGCTTTCACTCTCGACCATACATCTGAGAGAAAGGTTAACTGTATTGGGTTTTTGTACTAAGATTTTCGGTCGATCCTACACAATCCAGCGTCGAGAACTGGCACAGTTCGCATTTATCAACGACACCAAGTAATAAAAAATTGAACGATCTTCCACGGTGGAATATTTTACACTGTACTTTCTGCTGCTCTATTTTCTCGCGATCTAGCGAACGTGTATTTTTTTGTTCGTGGATGGTGACATGACTGGTACAATCACAATTTTCTGAAGGATTTTCAACATCCTTGAACGATGGCGTAAATGGAGAGAATTAGATCTAGCGACGAAGAAGGAGTTGTTTTGTAAACAGGCTGCTAGCTAACGTAAGACATCTTTGATATCTAAGACTAAAATTGTCTTCTTATTAAACTTCTAGTGGCGAAGTCGTCGATTTATACGACGTTTCACGAACTATGCTTCATTTTGAAAGAAGTTCGATTTGAAAGTGAAAAGAACGTATACATAGATAGATATATATAGGGACACTTGATCGAAACAAGATTCAATGGAGCTCGTGGTAAATGTTAAGTGCTGTTAACGTGTGACACGCAAGAGTAACAATTTGTGGCAAAACATCTGCGTGAAATGAAAATTTTCTAAATAAAGTTTGAACGTTTCTGGACTCCTCGTTAAGTATTGTAAAAATGTTCTCCACGATTTCAAATCTGTTTTGCATTCATAATAAAACGTTACTAACACGACTGCAGGGAAACTAGTCACTTTCCTTTATCGATAGATGTTAATAACGCGCGAACGATCATTACGTTATTTTCAATTTTCGTTAAGAAAATATTTTATTTAAGGTAACGTTATAAAATGTAAAATATAACGTTAAATATCGTTACTCCTACAAACGATAATCGATATTACCGAAGTAACCGGTATTAGCATTGTGAAATATTCGGTATGTATAAATAGAAAGCGAGAGATTAGAACGAATAAGTATTAATGAGAGATTAGAACGAAGAAATAGGTGCGAGAAACGGCGGATAAATGGTGAGAACGGAATCAAATAGAAAGAACGGATAGACGCGAATAATATCGAGTCTACTAACGCGTGAATGTACGGATGATGTAGAGATTGCAAACTAACTTGATTTTTAATTAATCGCGACTCCTTTTGTATCATACGTGAGAAAATACGTAAGCTCTTTAGTAAGCGAAAGTTCCTTACATAATGTATCCGCGTTATACGAGATGTAGCAACAAAATTTCGAAAATAATCGACTTAAAAGGATCCTATTTTCGAAATTAAATAAAGGTGAGACTATCGCCTTCGAAGTATAACTCTAAAGACCGAATATACGCACCGCAGCGTTAGGTATATTATTTGTAACATTTGTCGCAACTTACTTTGCGATATCCATTATAATTTTCAATTTTATTTGTATCAGTTTGATACAAATTCGGATTTCGTAAATTCAAAAAGAAAAAGAAAGTTTCTTTTATTAGACGTGATGGAACAGTCTCAAGAGCGAATACGAAGATACTGCAATGATATGGACGGTTTTGAACTTGAGAATTCTTTTACAGAAAATGAAATAGTTCTTTTTTATTTAAAGAAGTGTTTTCTTTAAAAAAAATCGCCTTTAATCGAATTATTTAATGTTAAACGATTTTGAATTTTCCTTGCACCTTCCTGAAGACCACCAGACATACAATCGAGTAAAACCTGACCACGAACGTTCACGGATAATTCGACGTCGTACGTGTGAAAAATTGTTCAAACTTTATAAGACAAAGTATATGACTTTGGACTTGCAATAAAAATAATTTGAATAACAATTTCTAGCTTTCGCTAAAACGTTACTTTTCGTTCGTTCAACATGTACACCTCTTCGCATTCATTGCACATCAAAACAGGAGCGAAATCGAAGGTAAATATACGTTCTTATATGAATCCATACCGAGCGTTCAGTCTACCGAGAATCTGATTACAAAATACAACAAGCATGATTACAAATTAATGCAAATTGTCTGCCAGCATTATCAGGAACGTCATATTATAGCAATCAATCTTTCATTCCGTTGTATCATCTTCTATATCAAATACCTGCATTGCATTTAGAAATCCGCGATTTCCATTAATAACTAATTGTAAAGTGAGTTCGTTATGTTAGCTTCTCTTTTCTTGTTACCTTAAGACAAAAGCTTATACAATGGTAAAATCATGCAAAGAAATAATTTTGATAATACGAGGATCGACCACGATCGATTTTAAATTTGAAAATTAAGTACTCGTCCGTAGAAAAGGCACGCGAGACAAAACTAAATTAAACTACTAAACTAACTAACTAAATTAAAGATAAAACAAAAGTAAATTGGCCGATAATCGAATGTTTCTGTTTTAACCTTAATATCAGCTACGTCCGAATCGATAATAAAAATCACGCCTAAAGAGTTTTGTTCTTCTCACATTTGTAAAATAAATAAAAATTTCGCGAAACTCTCCAAACAACAAACATCGTCAAACAATAATTTAATATTGAAAGAAATCCCAGAGTATCCTCCTACGTAAACGAGTTGAGACGAGGGAAAGCTTAAAAAAAGGGGAAAAAATCAATATCAAGCGCCATTGGTATAAAAATAGAGACGCGTGAACAGGACGCAGTTGGAGCATTTCGCGAAGCAACTTTCCAGTCCTGCTGAGAGCGCGGCAAGATTGGAAAAGATCGAAGAGTATCTGGGGTATATACTTTCGACTAGGTCTAACATGGCCTAGCCTAGAGACTCGTCTCTCTTCCCAGACGAAGAAGGCGCAGGTGCATGTTGCACAGCAGTGAAAGTATCCGAGTGCAGTTACGATCTGTCAATGCCCTCTTGCATAGTCGGTAGAAGTCTAGCGGTGCCGTTTGACCAGGACCCGGGATTTTCAGTTCGCTCGTCGAAAGTGTCGGTGTCTGTCAGCAGCTTCTATACCTGGTGAACCCTCTTTGTCGAACGACCGAGTCCACGAAAGCTCTTTAACGACGTTGAAAACCTTTTTCCTCTTTGAAACTCGCGTTGAAAGAAGCTGTCAGGATGAGCACAATGAACACCGCGACGTTGTGTTTTCTACTGGTCGTAACTGGTGTCACCACTCTCTCCATCGACTCGAATCGTGAGTAATTGAGGTTTTTCGACTGCTGGACCTCTTGCACGGCAATGGGTTTGCTTGCCGATTCAAGCGAGCTGAAGGTTTAGAGCCAAATTTGTAGAAAATCGAGTGAAAGTCCGATAAGGTAGACGCGATAAAGGTGCATCGGAGATTTCTTTCAATTACATTCTTGATCAATTTTGGTCAATTTTGCTAATCGTATCGGCGACGAATCGACGGCAGGTTGATCACTTTCAGGAACTTTAGTTTTTTTAATTTAGGATATCGACGAGGATGGAGCTGATTCTCTGTTCTTTCCTTAAGGTAGAAAACGAATAGGTCGATTTTTGTTTGGTTCTAGAATGCTGGAAGTAATGTATATGTTGCATAAATGCAGTTAAATTGTCGACGAGGATGGACCTTTTCCCTTGTTTTTCTTTTTTACGTAGAAATTCCTATTTTTTAATCTTTTTTTTCTTTTTACATAAAGGTAGATGCATACTGATGTTTTATTCATAATAGTGAAGTTAAATGTTACAGAAATGCGTGCATGATCGATAACTGTGACGACGGTGGCCTTACCGTTTTAGATAGGAATTTCTACTTTTCTAGCTACGAGTAGGTGGTTGTAGATTTTTGCCGAGGCTAGAGCGATAGAAGTAAACGTTACATAAATGCACTACGCGAAGTAAAGAGGTCACTCGTGCGAATATCCCTCAGAAATTTCATTTGAATTTCACAATGTGCGGTTGAAACTAACAAGTTGCCAGGCAACTATCTTTTCGTGTAAAAGTCACGGCGTTTCCGCTTGTTACCGTCTTTGATCGCGAATTGTTAATTTCCCTTTCATTCTCTGATTATAATTATCGATTCAACGAGTTTTTCTAATTTTTTCGTTTTAATCCTCTTTCTTTTTGCGTTCGTTCAATTGCCACAACTCGTTAAAACTTTTTATCAGCAATTTCAAGAAAACTATTTATTCGCGCATAAAATATTTCTTATAACTCGTCGATTTAATGGTTTAATGAATTTCTCTTTATTTACAGCTGAATACGTGAAACAGTGTTCGAGAAGCGATCCAAAGCTGAAAACATGTTTGATCGATGCGTTACACCATTTGAGACCGTATTTGAGTGTCGGAATACCGGAAATCGAGCTGCCTTCCGTCGAACCATTTCGCGTAAGTTCTCACCGCTTTCAATAGTCTCCTGATACATTAAAAGTTAATGTTTCCTGTTTCGTTAACAGAATCGCGCACAGTGATCCTTCGTTTGGTTCCAATAAGTATTTCAAATTTTATTAGCAACGTCACGTTCAGCCAAATTTCCATGCAAATGTGTCATTAGAATAGTCGTTTTTCGTTAAATTATACCACTTGTAATTTTGATCGCTGTTTGCAATTCAAGTAACAGGTTAAAATCGTGAATTTTGGAGTTTGAAAGAACCTACGAACGAAAAGTATAATACAATTGGGAAACTTTTTAATTAAAAATCTCTCGTATGCTTGGGATTATAATAGTATAGTAAAAAATAACGAATTTTCGATCTTTATACTAATATTATCGATGAATTAGGAAACATTGAAACCTAACGCAAGAGAACTATGCAGCACCGTCTAACGATTAATATTAGAAAATTTTGATATTTTGTTATCAATTGCGTATCGATTAATTCTCTCTGGACATTTTTCAAATCTTTTTTCCATACATTTCTAAACATCTCAACGTGATTGATTAAAGTGAGAAAATTTGCATGTCTGATATAAATATTAGGTTGCCCCAAAAGTTTCTAAGGAGGTAGTCCATGCACAACATTTTTTGTTTTTTGTTATTTTATTGAATTATGTTTGATCCATTTTATTCTATTACCACAAAAGGGATCGTACATATATCCATAAAATAATATAAAATAAAAAATATTGTACATCTATTATTTCGCTTATGAAACGAAAGAAACTATTGGGGCGACCTAATATTTACATCAGACATGCAAATTTTCTCATTTTAGTCAATTACGTTAAGATACTTAGAAATGTATGGAAAAAAGATGTTAAAAATGTCCAAGGACAATTGATCTACAGACTTTTCATGCCAATCTAATACAACTGGAATCAGAGATCAAAGGGATATAAATTCTCATGGTCATGGCTTTCGACTTACAGCAATGAAAATTAAAATATGACAGGGAATTTAGTAAATTTTAATATTCACCCGTTTACTACTGGTTATCCCACGTATCTGCTACGACTCCGCGTATTCTGACAGATGGACGAGCTGACTCTCTCCCTGACAGGTGGTACAAACGGTTACAAGGTTCAACTGCGTGAACTGTTCGTAAAGGGAGCGAGCAACTATACCGTGGAAGACATCAAACTCGGCTCACCCTTCGAAGCCATTGTACGAATGCCAGCCCTCATTTTGGACGCGCATTATTCCAGGTTCACGATCTGCAAACGCTTCTGCTCTATTTAGATTCTGCTCTCTAACCGTTTACTTTATTAACTTCTTCTTACGTTCATACATAAAACATGGTATGGCAATTGTACGTAAGAAAAGACGAAATGGAATATTAACAATTTACATTAAAATGTTCAACGAAATAGAAGAATAAAAGAATTTCTTTTAACTTTCAACTTTCAGCGATATTGTCATTTATTTTGGTTTAATATGTCAGTTCAGGAGTGTTAATTATCTTACCAGCCAGTGGCAATGGAACGTTCCACGCTCGGTTTGACGATGTCAGAGCTCTGGTCAAAGGCACCGTTTCGACGAAAGAAAGGGATGGAAAAACGTACCTTAACGTGGATAACCTTGACGTTGTTCTGGAAGTGAAGAATGTGAATATGAGGGTCCGAAAGATTTTTAATAACAATCGAATCCTTAGTAAGTGTCTCGTTGAAAATAGAATGGTTTTATAAATATAGATATTTATATTTTTGTTCCTCTTATATCGTTAGCTCTTAGTCTTCCATACTCCTTAATCATATCCATTTCCCTGAGTTTCTTAAGTAACTTGAATTAAATTTTGATACAACGATTTCTAAGAACATCTCCTAGACGGATAACAATTGTAAAACTTTACCTAGAACACTACTAGCAGAATGCTACGTCATGTCGCTAACAACCGATGACTAAAAGTATAATTTGTACAAATTTGACTATGATTACAGCCGAGGCAACCAACCTGTTCCTCCGCGAAAACGGACAGGAAGTTTTAAAAGTGATGGAGCCGCAGTTGAAAAGGAAACTGTCCGTACTCTTCGCTGGAATCGTTAATCAATTGTTACGTCACGTGCCAGTCGAAGTTTTCCTACTGCCTTGAATTTCGCATTTTTTCTCGGAAAAAGGAAAGATACGATTAAGAAACAAAAAAAAAAAATCTAAGAAAACGACAAATAGTCCAGATTAGTGCGTTTCACCGAGGGTTACGATACAGTAACGAGTAACTTAATAATAACTTCGGGTTAATAACTTCGAGTAGAACAAGATAAACAAGGAACAGTATTGTTACGACGTTTAGTGTAATTCGTTTCAGTGCAACTGATAGTATAAGGTTGAATTTATTGTAGAGAAGGCAACAAAATATATGTATATTGTATATATTTATAAAAGCGTAGGTTTGTTTTTTTATCAACTATTTACCCTTGACCCGATAATATTGTACGCAATGATCACTCATGCAATAAAAGTGACAGGAGGAGAATCGTTTTGCAAAGTACAATCGTTTTGTATTACAAGATTTCTATGCTTACAACATTGTGAATACGTTTCTCTATAATTTACATGTACTTTGCATTTTAAAAATACGTAGACGGATGTTTACAAGAATCTGTGCAAATATTTTGACTCGAACGTACCTATGCTCTTCGCTTTTTTTTCTAATTAATTTTGTGATTACGGTATCTTGCACCTGTATTTGAATTTTGATCGCTTAATCCAGCGATGAGTGATTAAATAGTTCATTATACGAGAGATGTCGAAAAAAAACAAAAGTATTAACGGTTTGTCATGCTCGACAAATTGAATAAATAAAAATTGTTTAACATAGGTCTGTGAAGTATTGTAACAATTCCAGAATAGCAAACAACTTTTGTAAAGATATTTTTGTGTATTCTTTTAATTTACTCTTAACTTTTTACGAACGTGTACGATCAGCCTTGACACTCTGTAATCTGTTTATAACTTTCTACCAGGCATCTGCCTACTTATCCTGATTGATTAAATTAGTCGAATTAAATTAATTCATCAAACCGAAATGACGAGGAATTATCGAATTAAAGTTACCTCGATTAACACTCGACATCGCGTTTATTTATATCTTACATGATGCTTCATCCAATAACAACACTAGTTAACAATCCATGTGTATAATCACCGCTTTGTTAGCAGCTGTGTCTTCGGTAATTAAAAAAGGATCCTCGAAACCCATACAATTTGTGTATCAAATAAATCTTACAAAATGTCCATAAAATTATTCGCCTTACGTCGTTTATATAATTCAATCAGTTCTGCGTCCCTTTCTCCCATTTCAATCCACGTTTAACTCCATCGAAAAATCTATCCAGGTTTCATTCTTCAATTTTCTTCAAATTTCTTTCTTCCTTCTTAGATCTATGCTTTTTCCTTTTTTTACAATTATTTTATTGCTATAGTTCTGACGTGACTCAAGGAAACACGGTTGAGAAAGGTATCTTCGAGAAGAAACGATTGGTGAATTCGGTCAGATACGTGTCCCAAGATTCTGTCAATTTTGGCAATATTGCTCGGTATATCAGAGGCCAGTATTCGTTGATGAAGACGAGAGCAGCTCGGTCTGAAAACAGAAATGTTTATTTTGTTATTCGTAATCAAAATAATAACTAAGAAAAATTCGGAATCAAAAAAGTGCACAGAAAGATATGCTTTGTAATGTATCTTCCTTGTCGAACTTATAAAAATCGTATTATTGCAGCCTTGTTAAAGTTCTTATAGGAATTGTTCTAAATGCCTTATTTTATTTAGCGATTACTTAAATAGAAACTGAAGATAGTCAAATCTTGTCATGACTCTTTTAGCTGTCTGGACCTACGGAATCCAACTATGGTGACGTAGCAATAGGGGAAAAGAACTGACATGTTGACTATCGAATCGAAACAATCAAAAACGCTAAGATCCATTATAAATGCACCCTGGTATGTCACCAACGAACTAATACATCGCGACCTCAAGATACCAACAGTCAAAGAGGAAATAGCAAACTATAGCGACAGATATAGCAAAAGAGTCGACAAACATCGAAACCCCCTAATCGATACGTCGGACCAGATCCGCTGGCTGAAGAGACACTACCCGCTAGATCTAAACGCTAGATTCAATTAGTTATCTAAATTAAGTAATATTTACTTATTTATAATACTTACTTATAAATTATACTTATCTATAATAAGTTATTATAAATAATTATAACTTATTATAAATAATTAGCCATGTCACTGCGCCACGCCAGAAAAAATTACTGAAAATTCTCAATGCGAGAATTGATTGTAAATTTTAATAAATAAAAAAAAATGACTCTTTTGAAGAATAGAATATTGTATCGATTTATACATTATAATCATTGTATAAGAAGCAATTAGAAGCTAACTTTCATGCTGATAAATCTACAACAATTACATAGACAAAGAGGCTAAAGGCTATTCTCTGAAGAAAAAAATTAATCAACAGTCATTGTCAAACGACAAACGTTAAATATAAATGTAGTTACTTGACACAGCCATTAACATGCCATTGTGACATCAATCACATCTCAACCTACATCAGTGATAAGACATCGACCCCCGACCTTCAGACACTTTTCCACATCATAACCTACACCTAGCCCCTCAACATCCTAAAACCAAAACGTATATAAACCGAGACTTCACCCAGCTCGAGCAGTTCTTGTTCCTCTTCTAGTTGCTGTACTCATACAACCCCTATTCTCCGGTTCGGTGTTATTTTGTAAGTGTTAACATTTATAATAAGGTTTTATAAAGGAAAATAAGTAGTTGGGTAGTTGGACTCAGCCTTCTTACTACCAGCCAAGTACCAACTTTACGTGACACCATCATCGGATGAATAAATCGCCCTAAACCGCCGCATAAATTCCATTCGCTACCAAAACAAGAATCTCATTGTTTTGAGAAAATACAAAATTATTTGAACAATTACATCGTAATCCAATACACTGTAGCGGTTCGTGGCCGTAGAGAAAGATCCAGGATTGAAGTACATGTGTTGGCCACATGGCCCGTGAAACAACGTCCGACGACAGGACGTCGTAAAAGTATAAATCCTCGGATTTACTAAAAAACCCATGGGCCTTCGAAAAGAAAATTTATAGTTTTATTGCTTTCCATTCCCACCTCGGAAAAAACTCTCTATTCCGAGGAGACCTTATGAAAGGGGAAACGAGGGAAAGCTAGGGACAATCCATCATAGTCGTTCATTGTCGTTGATGGTAGCTGACGGTAGTCGTTGGTAGTCAATCAGTACGGTTAGTCAATCAGACAGATAGTCACAGCTAATTCGTACCGAGTTTGTATCGATTCTGTATCAAGTCTGTGTCAATTCTGTATCATTCTACCAAATGTCCAAATCGGACAAATTGTGAATGTAAACAACTAAATAAAAAAAAAATTCTGTATCGTCATCGCTCGAGCTCGATGTGCGTCATGTTACGATCTAAAATGACGCGCATTCGAAATCGAAATAAACATCGTCGAAGTTGAACACCGGAGTACTTTAATAACACCCAACACGTCCTTACTACCTCGACATAAAAGATTAAACAACGATGTAATAACGTAAATATGTGCGCTACAGCGAGACACAAAGCTGTACATTCGATGCTCATCCAAAGTCGATGGTCACGTAACAACCCGACGATATCGTAAGAAAAAGCGAATGAAGTCCGCAGAGGCAAAAGTACTAGGATAAGCAGTAAATAACAGCAAGATATAGCGATTCTATGCTAATTAAGCGGCACAGGATTCTCTTGAAACTCGAGTCCCGGTGTACATGTACTTATGGCAACGTAACATTATGCAATGATGGAATGTCGAGACAACGTCGTTCAACTAATGAAAGTTCCTGTCGATTTAAGGCAGTTACCTTAAGTAAACAGCAAATTGTACCTACCATAGTACTTAGTTCTATTAGTAATCGTGCTTTTTTGTCGCAATCGTATAACGATCGTGTCATCCACATTATTTTCCACAGTATTTTTATTTAACGTAACAAATCAATTTATTCGCTATAATTATTAATAACGATGGTCTAATGTACTTACTCAGTTCATTGTTTCCATTGAAGAGATCACTGAACCAGATTTTCATATTTCCAACTGTAGGCGATAGTTTGAAGTGTTCCACAACCCATATATCGTTTACTACGTGACCGGAGATGTCCCATGTGACTCTGAGGTCCTCCATGCTAATGTTGAAGAAACCTGTTAGATGCAAATATGAGAAACGTGGTACGAATTATTTTAAATCCTATTGTCTCGTTACGCTGTAAGAAATAGTAACGAAATAGTCGCGTGAAACAGCGCAATTCTGCCTTTATATCGTAAAATCCAAAGAAGATATTAAAGTCTGTTGTATTAATTAGTATACCTTTTCCACCCACTCTAAAAGATGCCAGGTAACCTTCGGCTTTGTAGTTGCCATCGATTAAAATCTTTGGTATCTCAACGTCGATTTCCAAGCGGAAGAGATCGTCTACCATCTCCGGTTTCACAGATAAGAAACGTGCTTTGGCAAGACCGTATGTTCGAATGTCCGTGGCAAGCATTTTTCCACCCTGTTGGCCATTTTCGAATTCCATGGAATGAGACTCGGTGTAATAAGGATCCAAAACGGGTATGTCGAACTCTGGCAATCCTGTTGCGAAGTTTGCAAAAATTAATCGTAACTCGTGAATAAAAAGTTAAACGAATCAACCTCTATTATCTTAATGGTATTATATTCGGTAAAAAGTCTAACGTAGTCTTTGAAATTACGCAGCGTTATGTAATCCTTCTCGCTTTAATGCGATCCAAGAGAGAAATGGAAAAATCAATCGTTGCAAGGACGAATTCGAGATAAGTTTAAACAAAAAAGTACTCGTAATTATTGGATTGTGACGCGTATGAAAACAACTCGATGAATAAATTTATCAATTGATCTACCTTCGTGAAAATGACAGAGATGTAAGCTAGAGATAATTATATTACCTGAAACGAACGTGGGCCATGCTTCTTGTATGGCTAGCCTCAAACAAGATGAAAAGTCATCGGAATCTCTTTTGCAGGTTTTCACGGTTGCAGCTGAGGAATAAAATAAATACAAATTACTCATTGATAGAAAAGACTTGAAATTAAATTAAACGCAATAATGAGAAACAATTTTCGACATATGTAATTTCCAAATAATTGAGATACGTTCTGTTATATTATTGGAAATACGCACTGCCCATCTCCTAATATATTTCAAATTAACTTTAAGATAAAAAAGAATCGCTCGTGTTTAATTTGTTAAATATTATGCCAGAGATTTTTGTAACTATCGAAACATTCTTTTAATGAGACGTAAAACGTTCGACCATTTATCAAATTTTTATTACTAATTTATTATTCCAAATGTTTAAGCAAAAAGATAAAATTATTTTGCAATCGTCTTTCTGGAAAAATAACATTTACACTAAGGATATCATGAGAGAGAAAATTTCAATGATTATAAGCAAATATTTAAAGCATCTCCTCCTTAGTACAATGCTCTATAATAAAATTTTATTTCGTGAGTTAAACTTACGTATCATGGTCATTTGTAACCATAGTTGCGTAATTAATATGACATTAGTACTCTTTAAACGAAAAACCATTCGTGTTATTCCGCGATTCATAAGGGAAAACGAATGAACACAGTGAACGGCAGTTTTCAGATATCGCTAAAATTCAACTAACACGCTGAAACGACCCACGTTAACTTTCTAACTCACTAGTTCTACGGAACAAATAAAGGAAACTTTTACTTGTAATTCGAGGTAAAAACAAACCTATTTCGCGCGTCGATTATCGCGAATAATTACGATTTTACATCCAATTTATGTAAATTTATATTGCAATGATACATTACACCGAGATATTACACCGTCCAATCCCAAAATTATAACAATTTTCCTATGATAATTTCTTCCTACGTAAATTTTGGACTGGGTTTTGTCCATTCGAATGAAGTTTATTTTAATTAGCTCTTAATTAGCGTTAGAAAGAACTATAGTAATAATTGCGAATACGATTTAACTAGCAAGGAAACTTTACGGTATAATCAAGGAATACGGTATAATCAAATAGAATAAAAGCTTTCGGAGAAGGAAAACTTACCCCTACAACCCATCATTACCACTCTCACGCTTTTACTAGGGCCGTCATCAATCTTCCGAAGAGGAAGCTCGAAACTCTAACTTACCACCCCAACGGAAAAAGAACTAACAGAGAAAATAGAGCGTCTTGAAGCCCAACTTACTTCGGTGTCTTTCACTCGCGCCTCCGCAGAAATCCTGACTACCTCAAACAACCATAATACGCAAACAACCGAATACGAAAATAAACAATGAACCAGAAGTGAGTGAGAATTCTGAATATGATCAGAAGATTAATAGAACGATCCTAAACGTGAACTTACGGAGCTGATAATCTCCAGCGACGATAGCGATAGCGCATAACGCGATGACAACTGCACGAACGGTGTGGAACGACATGGCGTACTTTGGTTAAAAATCTCCCAGCTAGCCTAGCCAATTATAAGCGGTCCGTTTATATAGTTTCCAGCGCCAAGGACTCCAGGCAGAGAGCTACGTTGCAAAATTGCATGTCATTAAAACGCGCCAACACGTGAGAGGCGAGAAGCAGCGCGCTACGCCTGGCCTATGATACACACAAGTGCAACGAAGTAACGATCGGTGTCGCGAATTCCGGAGAACGCGTAAATCCGCTCTTCTTTTGTTGAACACCAGCTACACAGGTAACGTTGTTCTATCGGAGGAGGCTGATCTAGCTTCGACTTTTCTGTCACTACATCGGCATCTCTGGCGTGCCGGCTGGCTTTCGCGATCGATGGTCTGCATAGGCATTCTCAGAACCGCTATCGGAATAATTTCTACGCTTGTTTACCTTCTACCACTTTTGCTTTGCTGCGATATACTTCTCGAACCACGATGACGAATTATACGGGTACATGCCGATTTTGATGACAGTAGATCTGGGATGTTGGGCCATGAAGATGAACGAATTATTTTTTTTTATTTATTTATTTACATTTTACAATTTGTCCAGTAGGACATTTGATAAAATATTATAGAAAGATGAACGAATGATTCGATTAGAAAGTCTATGGAGGGTGAATGGCGGAGAAGTTGCGGAGGAAAATTTTAGTATTTTTGGTTTTGCAAGGACTAAATACGATTATTACGGTAGAATTAGATCGCTTTCGACTTTTTATAGAACACTGCAATTATATTGGTAATGAGTCGATAAGCATGGTGTAAGAGATATATTGTATCACTTATAAGCCAAAGTATCGAGTTGTTTGCGAAACGAAGTAATACATTTTTGTTAAAAAAAAAAAAAAATAAAGGTAAAAAATTTTCACCTCTGTTTTGAGAAGTAAGATATTTATAGGATGACTCCTTAAAACGAAATAGTCATGGAATTCAAACACTTTTATTCGTAAAAATGTAAATGAGATTCATACTATATTCAAAATTGCAGAAACACGAAAACAACTCCTGCTGCATAGTTAAAGTCTGCAAACAGGTATTTGTTTTATCAATGGAAATTAGAAGTTTATGCAACGGTCTAATATTAGCCAGATGATAAATATGAAATGAAATCCTACTATATTTTTAATAGAACCTTTCTCATGAGCCATTGAGTGTTATTTATTATAACTTATATAAATAAAAATAAATTATATAAATACTTTTATAAATACGCTTGAAAAGATTTAGGCAGAAATTCGTTTCACTCGCTAAATGTTATAACGAGTGTCATGTTTCAAAATTTAGAAAAAATGTATATCTTTTATATACAGATATGTATATAAATATATGTGTATATTTTACATACCTTTGCACTATTTTGTGTAAATATACAAATATCCACAAACCAACGATCAATGGATATAGTCTTGTAATTATCACGAGCTGTTTGTTTAATGATAGAACATTATCAAATTTCTTGTTATTACTGCTCTACTATACTTATTCGCTTCCGCATCGAGCAATATCTAGCTCCTTCTATTTCTGATTACTGTCTTAATGCATCGCGTGTGTAACGAATGGACTCTGATGCCACCAATCATTTAATTATCAAATGATGCGACACTGCGTGCAAAATTATAGTACGATTTCAAGATACCGAGAACCGTAAAAAAAAACGACGAACGCTGACAAAACGGACTTGAACGAGGGTCTATTGCACTGTCATTGTTTTCTTCAAATTTAAAAGACAATACTTGATTTATCCAATTTTAATTCATATTTTATACCACTGTTAATTGCGTATATACTACTATTATACTAATATTAATATTATAATATTATGGTATTGTCAATTTTAAATCGATCAAATCATGAATTGTATTTATTAACTGAAGATTCTCTAATATTGCAGTACGATTGTTATGCATACATTGTTTTTAAACTCTTTTCTTTACTAAGGAATTACTTATACAAGAATTACTGGGAAAATTAATGGCTTTCATCCAATGCGTACCACCCGGTATAATAAAGCAATTGTAAATTAAGCCATAAAGAGAAGAAAGCAACTTTTCGAGCTTTATCGTAGTGCAGAGACTCGTTAAAGTCGCTAGTTTGCACCTGGTACCGTTCCCCGTTAAACGTGAAACTTTATTTCGAGCTATGACCATTAGAGTGCAAGATACATTAATGGCCTACGTCTTAACATGATAAACAGGGTGTTATTAACGGATCTTGTAATTTATTATTAAAATATATGTACTTGCAGATCGTTTCTTTGAAAACTCGTCTCTCTAGGAAAAGAGATAAACGCTTAAATAGAAACATCTAATTACATGAATTCTATTTATAAAAATTCTCAGATGCATTAAGCTCGTCCAACATCATCCAACAGAAAATTACCAATAAGAGAGTATACAAGACAATCGATCAAAAAAAGCAGATAACGATAGAGACATGGCCTGTGGTACCAAGATCGCGTATAAATCACATGCGAGCAAATATAGGCACCCGTGACCTTGTGACCTTGCAAGTACATACCTGCCACTAGCGGTAGCTAATTGAAAACGATACTGTAAACAAATGACGATAAGATGTTCATATGGAACTGCTATGGTACCGTCTACGCAGTTTTATGTAACAGGGGATTACGAAGAGCTCGAACCAGACGCCCTTGGATCACGTCGCACCGATATGAGAAACTAGTTTTCATCGGGGAGGCGACTGACAAGGAAAAATGCCCAACGAAACTGTACCACATACTTACATGCCCGATCAGCCTATCCGACTCTCATTCGTTTGATCGATAGGATCAATCGACACAGTTAATCGTCGAAGCGGCCCGATGATCGTCGATGAAATCGTTCGATAATTTGTTCGAACATCGGGAAAGCCATCAAATAGATATTTCTATTGGAATAATTAGATCGATGAATTTATCGGTAGTTTTTAATATATAACGATAATAGTAGACTGCGGACATTTATGCAAAATCATATTTTTGTGGGTACAACTGAAGAAATGGAATCTGTGCGGAAGTTCATCTCATCCAGCAAATATTATAACAAGTACTATACTTTGAATATCTTCGTATGTTCTTGTGTATTATATACTTTCATTTCAGTGCAGTATCGTAAATTTTCGTTACATTGTCTATTTACAATAAAAAAAATCTGAACAAACAAAGTTATATATTATTAGGACAAAATAATTTCAGTTAATATGGAAATAAAAATATAAGAATAGAACAATTTAATTAAAACTTAAGATGCCGCTCCTTTTACATCTTTTCGAAAAATGAGTCAATTGCATCTCGTATTTATTCAGAAGAAAAATATGTAGGTCTGTTGGTTGGCATTTAAAGGCTGGTTATGCGGTTCACCATTCACTGATCGGTGATTGCCGCTATCATGAAAACTAATGCGCACAAATGACACAAATTCGAAATCTACGCTCGATCGCGCGTAGCGTAGTGATTAGTAAATGCTTCGATAAACTCGGCAAGAGAGCAACCGTAAGTGTATTGAAACTAATCTGGAGATATGTAAGCTACTTTTCCATTGAAATTGCAAAAATAAAGATTGGAAAAAGTACACAAAGCTAAACCAACATACTGCGCCTTTAAAAAGATTACACGAACGTTTCAAGATATCATGATTAACTGGAAATACCAATGAAAAAATTGTAATTAATCTTTTCTTTATCCTACCTTTGAATATTGATAAATTTTTATTAATTCAAATTATGTATATACATACGTATGTATATGTACTTTTTCTATGATTGCGTTTACCATTTTTGCTCCATCGGTAATCAAGATCGTGAGTATCCTTTTACGTAACGCCATCTACGTAGTATTATCTCGTACACGCACAACCGGGACTGCCATTGATTAAACCTGTCAGAGAATCAGCTGATCGGTTATTCACGTACGTGAGATCAGCTGTGCGCAATCATGGACACGTTAAGCGAAGAAGATTTTGTGATACCTCCGGCTAAATACGAATGTAAGTACCCAGTATCATACTTTGAGCGTAATAACGCATTAAATTCACGAAGTAAACACTTTCATCGTATTAGAATGATATAACCGGCAGCCGGCGCGCCATTATACCGGCGTCCATTTTGCCACATGTGAACAAGTCGGAATCAAAATTTAGAACATTATTTCACACCTAATTGTACAAGAAATTACATAACAAGACAATTGCAGTTATATGCGCGCGTTTTCTGTTTCAGATTTGGACCACACGGCTGATGTGCAGTAAGTATTAAGTTTGTAAATCCTTCGCAATTAAAGCAGAAATTTTGTAGAGGTTACTTGCAAAGATAACCTAAAACGAAAAATAGGACAATAATTACTGTTGATACAGAGACAAGTTATATATCGCTACATTGCTTTAACAATATTATATTATTAAAATAAATATATATCGTAATACTCATGACGTATTATAGACTGCACGCATGGGGCAATACCATGGAAGAGGCTTTCGAGCAATGTGCGGTGGCCATGTTTGGGTACATGACGGATTTAGAGCGAGTTCAAATGACACAGTTACATTACGTAGAAGCGGAAGGACACGATATGGAAAGTCTTCTTTTTCATTTCCTCGACGAATTGTTATTCATGTTTAGCGCCGAACCGTTTATCGTTGCGAAGGTATATTGCATTCATTAAACTTTAATTACATCATTATTATAATTAAAATCCCTTCTCGATTACGAAAACGCTTTACTTTGCATTTTTACGTCTCTTTTTACCTTTTATATGATATCATTTATTCGATAGACCATTCCGTTTAATATGTTGTTTAACTATTTATTCAGAGATCGAAATAAAGTACCTTGTTCTTTAAAACGCTATTTTTTGTGATTTTTTAAAAAAGAAGTATCGCTTTGTGTTGTCAGAAAGTGAAGATTACTAATTTCGACCGCGAGAACTTCAAGATCTCTGCGACGGCGTTAGGAGAAGAGTTCACGATCGGCAAACATACGCAAAACGCCGAGGTGAAAGCGATTACGTACTCAGCGATGCAGATCCTCGATCGTCCTGAATCAGAACGTCCCGAACTTTTCGTGATCGTAGACATATAGCCGTTTCGGGTTCAGTTTGGTGTCTTGTTTGATTTCTTGGCGCCCCCGTGTAATTTGGCTCGGGTTAAGGCTTGAGACAGAACAGTATGTAGGAACGTATGAATACAGAAGCAAGAAGGGAGGGTATATACCCTCTCTTACGTCCTACGTAGGGTACGATCCTTTTGTACTTGCGTAGGGTTCAAATAAATACGTTATGAAGAAAACACCGGGCTCCCTTCTTGGCGATCCATAAGTACGTAGTAACGTACCATGGAACCCTGCGTTTTGTGGAGGATACCGCTCAAAAACTTTATACCACCAATGTATAACCGTACACAATTTATTTAAGTAACGTAAACATTTTGGTTGTTAATTCTTTATATATTGCATCTATATCAACAAATGTTTGATTGTTGTCGAAAGCTGTTAATAGTAACTTATAAATGCTAGACACGTATCATAAGTATTATATAAGAATGTTTGTATATTTTTATAAACATATAATAAAGATGTTTTTTATGTTTCGCGTCAGTGAAAATTTTCGTTACTAAAAAATAGAAAGATCGATGCTTGTATTATTACGATAAAATTGTTAGAAGAAAATATGAATTAGAATGTAAGTCATCGACTAACGTTGAGATTCGCCATACGATAGAATAGAATAGAAAATCCTAGTTAAGCGTACTTTCGCACGTGCAAAGTGGTACGGCCCTGGCATCCAACACCCCTCCATCGTGAAGGAAGCGACGACCGCCCGCTTAGTTTCGGGCAAGAAACGATAGGCAGTGGGATCCTCCCAATCTTCGGAAGCGCGTGTACTCAAGGGAAGAGAATCAAAAAGCTTCGAAAATTACATAATAGGAGACTGTGTTAATTATTCGTTTGATTCTTGCCCCCTTTCCTTCGCGATAAGGCCCACTGTTAAAGGGACTCACTGCCAACATCAAGCGTGGCCGTTTGTTTCGAAAGCGTACACCCCTAACCATGGCGGACTGGTACGGTAATAATCTATCAAAACGATATATCGTGACGTTTTAAACTGTCAAATACGAATAACCGATACATCAAGCTTGAACGTGTCTCGGGAAAGTCGTGATATAGGGATTTTTCACCTACATGCCGGAGCTTGCGTGGCAGTTTCGAGGAAAACGAGAGGGACAGTTTTGGCGCGTGTGTCTTTTATCTTCATGAAAAGCTCGTGTAACTGGTGTGTCTCTAATTTTCAATCTTCCATTTTTCAATCAACATAAACGACATGCTGTAACGGAAAAGCGTGACATCCTGTACCCATCGTGGGACATCTAACCCTAACGGATATAAACAAACGTTATCACGAATGCTTGAAAGATCATAGCCGTTTAAACAACATCAAGAGGCAAGTAAAAACAAGTGAACCTGTGAATAATTTTCATGAAAAACTGAGGAAAGGTGACACGATCTAGGAACTTTTTTGGATATCTGCTATCGCTGGCGGCGCGGTGGTTACGGACGGAGAAAAGCGAAGTGACGGTTTTGGCGCGCGTACTCGACTCCTGTGTACGACCGGCAGATGGCCGGTGCGCCGGTACGTTATACGCGCGCGTCCACGAACGCACCGACACATGACAGGCGCCTAAGCACGTACTACCACCATGACAGAGACGCGTTCAAGAGCATATCGAGTCAGTGGTAGAAGGCCACTACCACATTGACACTGAGCGTTGGTGAGAGCGCAGTAGAGCGCACGGACACGCGGTTCGGTGTTACTACTACCGGTACAGACGGGTCTATCTGCCTCGTAGCCCGAGCCAGTTGCCAGCGCGCCAGCTAGCCCCGTCCATCCAATCGCCCAGCTCACGAGCCGGCCTCGTGTGCGCGCGCGACACCCCGACAGAAAAGGTTCGTTTTCCTCGCCGGTGGCTCGACCGATCATGTCGAGGCGGGGCTTATCGTGAACTTTAGAGCCTATACATTCCTTGGAAGCTGAAAACACGGCGAACGCACGTACAGTTTCGGCCCTTTACGCACGATTATTTCGGGTCCTCAGTCTACTGCTGCTGCTGCTGCTGCTGGTGCTGGTGCTGGTGCTTGGTTGTCGTTCCTATTGCTGAGATCGGCCCTGCAGAAAATGGATACCGCACCAGTGCGGTAGAGAGACAGAACGAAGCAGATATATAGAAAAACGAGCGTGAAAGAGAAAGAAAGAGAGAGAAAGTGTGTGTGTGAGAAATAAAGGCCACGCAACTACTACGACTACGACTACGACGAGGACAACGACAACCGTTTACAAGTTGAGAAAGAAGGACAGAGGGAGAGAAAACGAGCGAGGGCGAGAGAATAGTAAATCATATGTACGAAGTCTGTATATAATATACCAAAGCGAAAAAGCAAGAGAAACATTTCGTGCACGGGCTAGCCTCGGAAGACCGGGTTAGGAGAAGCCTCGTCGTCTGGTCGTTTCCCCAGACGAACACGTTTCCTTGTCCTGTCATCGACAGGCCTACAGTGAAAATTGCATCTAGAAATATCGGCAACGCGACGACAACGATCACGACCACGACGGCGACGTATTTGCCTCTATCGAGGAGGCACGGATATGCCTCGCTCGTCGGCGCTGTGACACGCGCCGCGCCGTGTGCTGGCTGAACCTCCCGGAAGAGAGCGTGGGCCTCCGTCTCAAAATACTGTGCAGTTTCTACCGCACGCTCGAGAGCCAAGTAAGTGGAAATAAACACGCGTACAATCAGTTTTTCGATATCCATTTGTTCCGATCGGATGGAAAAAAAGAAATATTCTCTGCCTAGAGGAAATAGTAACAGAGTTGTTTCGAAACATTCATACTCCAAGTCCCCATCCGAAAAGTCGAGCGCGTTTTTCCGTGCGTGTTTCTTTTCTCTATCGCAATTTATCGTGTACGAAAGATGTGCTTACTGGAGCGCATAAACAGAAAGGAAAGAATTAAAAGAGAAAAAGAGAAAAAGGAAAAAAAGAAAAGGAAAGAATGGCCCGTTATTTCGAGCGCAACCGATTTGGTGCGTCGAAAGTCGCTGGCATCTCTCGCGATCAATCGCGAAAGCGTGCACTGATTCTAGGTTTCCTCATGACCGTGCCGGTAGCACGCCTAACTAGGGATACTCTAGTCCCGGCTTGGCTCTTTAAACGGCTCTACGTATTGCGTGCGAATCGTGGCGTCTCTATGTATGTGTATCGAGCAGGAGTAGTGTGTGTGCGCGCGCTCGCATAACCGCGCTCCCTCGTTGTCCGCCCGCTTGCGCTCACTCGCTCGCTCTCGTATGCATGGCCGCTTCGGTGCGTGGCGTGTGGATTTATATCGCGAGTACGCATTACCCGAGTTCAATAAAATCGGTATAAGTTCGTTGCTTTGGTCGTGATCGAACATTTTACGTGATATCGCAAATACACGAGAATAAGTCGAGCAAAAATGAAAAGAAAACAACCTCTGAACCTTCAATCAACGTTAACAGCTGATCGCGGTCACTCTGTAACGAACGATCTGTAAGACCAGATCCACTGTGATGGATGCACGTTTTTTTCTTTTTGTAAAATGATAAGAGATAGGGAGCGATTATTCGGGTCTCACTGATAGACCCTGCGACCTGTGCGGTTTCCACGAGCGGAAGGACGGAAAAAAAGGAGGACAGTAAGGTTCGTCGCTAACATCTGGGGCCTGAAGCCTCATGCACACAAGGCATGCTTGTACGATTATCCATTTGAAGCTTTTACCATATTTCCCGTCTGTGGTGCATTGCACGTTTTTCATATACAGGACGTTCTATGAATTTGAAAAAAAGAAAGAAAATAGAAAAGAAAAAATTGAAAAAGAAACTGTTGCATCAAACGAGAGCATTGGATTTATTGCATACCTCCTTAAAGGTCGTTCGTGTGGAACGTTTGTGAACAGACGTTATATCTCGTATTTTAAAGACCTCACTCCTACCAATCGATGGGCTCTAGGCTAGTTCTACATCCAATGCCGTCGACGCAAGTTACACCAGTCGGGTTTTATCTTCGAGATAACATCCTACCAATCAATGCCTCAGCATCGTGCATTGCTCCCAACCTTCGAATGCGCTTTACCATGCTATTGGCCTCACGATCGCTCGTTCTATACGCTGTGGTACGGTGTGTACTTGGCCAAACAGGCGAAAACGAGACAACCACGCAGTTCGACCGGGAGTTTGCTTCTAAAACTGCTTACAACGCAAGGCTGCTGTAACACGACGATCCTGCGGCGCGGCGTGCCTCTTTAAACCACACCCGGAACGCTGCCTCGTGTTCTCGGGACGCTTGCTCTTTTTTTCGAAAATTCTCGTACGCGTCCGCACCGTGGGTCTCTCATTCCGCTCAGGCGCGTAACGAGACTTTTGAAAACGGGGGCCTTAGGAACGATTTTCTCCTGTTTTTCGCGGCTATTTTGTTTTCCTGTGATCTTTGCTTCTAAACGGCGAAAAAACGTTGTACCATGTACGATCGGAACAAATGGATAACAAAAGGAAATGACTCTAGGGAATTTTTTCTGAGGCGACGCGTTGGAAATTAGTTTAGAATTCTAATCGACTTTGAAATACTTGCCACAGTTGATAACGCTGAATCACTTGTTTTTAGAAATAGTAACTCGAATGTCACTATTCTAAAAGTAAAATTTATATTATATTATCTTAATTATATTATTATTTTATTAGTTAATCTTTGGAATTAATAATATATGCACTATCTGCTTATAGTTGAAACTATTTTAATAGTGATTTTAAACAATAATAGAAAATTATATTGCATATATTTATAATATATAGTTATTTTCTTAATTTGTTTATGAAGTAATTGATCGTTGAAGTTGCTACATCGTCTAACCTTATCGTCTTTATAAACATTACAGGAAGTGGTTCTTAAAAATCTAGGAAAATCAAATATACAAAAGTCATATAACGAACAATGCCTGTTTTAATTTCTTTTTGTTTTTCCATTCATTTGGTCTCGACCTTTGCAGCTGCTGTACACGTTTAACTTAAAGTACAATACAGAAATTGATCTGTAGGTTTCACCAGATGTTCAGTACTTACAAAATTGTCACCTTGTCTTTTGGTCAACCACTTCCGTTTCGTTGTTCCATGCAACTACTATTTTTATATACTATTATATTATAGATATCTAAACCATTTTATTTCTAAAACATCATTAATATTTTCTTAAAAAAAGATATTTAGATATAATTCAAATATAATAAATAAAAATATTTTATTTTAAAAGTATCCAAAACAAATAGAAAATGTAGAAATACATTTTAAATATTCTATTAATAGTATAATGATAGAATTCTTTTTATTTGTCTATTTCTTGTTTATCTTTTTGTTTTATTGTAGCATGAAAGTTTGTCATTTCCTTCGCGAAGACAAATGCGAAGTTCTTTGGAATACGAGTTCTATTATTAGGATTTACCAATGTTGCTTGATTCAAGAACAAAAACCTTCTCCCCTATGCTGTCTGTTCTTTGATATGCATCTAAAAAGTCGCTTCTCCTTAAATGTGCTATCGCGACCGAATAAAATACACTCACAAATGGGTGGCACTGACAAAAACTCGAGAATGAAGGGACGACGATCGATAGAAATTTTTATCGGATCCGCACACCTCGCTGTCAATAATTTTCACATATAAATGGTATATTTTTGATAAAGCATATACTGCTGGCAAGGTTAACAAGGTACTAATATCAAGTTATAATGTTACATTTCATGTTTTCCTATCAATTTTTCTCCTACTCTTGCAATCATTGTTAACGAACATTCAGTAACAGATACATTCAAAATACACAATACACAATTTTTTACGACAAACGATATGAAATAAAAAATACATATCCGCCAAAATAGTATACACTTATTAACCTTCATGGACGGTGTGTAGTGTATGACACGTTTTCTAAAAACTTCGACAGTTCGATTTAACCAATCAAAAGTAGGAAAAAATACTTATGAACATTATTGTTAATTATTATTATTGTTAACATTCGTTTCATCATTGATAGATTTGATAAATATATATAATGATATTAAAAAAAATTTTATCAATATTGAATGTAATTAATTTTTTAAACGTACAAAATAAATAGTATTGTTTTTTTAAGCAATATAGGAATATTTCTTAATATTTTGTATTTGCTAATAAATTTATTGTAGTATTTCATATATTCTAGAAGCAAAATGGAACACTTACAATATGTATCTTTCATTGTATTCTCTTAAAAATATACATTATGTTTAGGAATATTTGTATTTTCTTGATAATATCTTTATTGGTATGAATTCAATAACATTATTTCTATGTATTTCTATCGTATGTAGTAATATTTATATATGATGACAGGAATTTCTGAGTAATTACTTTTCCCTATAATTGTCACTGAGATCTAATTTTAATATAAAATAAAAATAGTATTTCATATCAGACGGAGAAAATTTTATTTACGATTTGTTATTACAAACATACACGTCTAATAGGACCAATGTAATACGATATAAAACTTTCTAACATATTGTGATATAATCTTGATATGTCTTTTTGTACCTGATTCCTATGAAATATTTGTGTAATATTTGAAATTCTTGACTAAAAGTGTTTAAAGAAGTTATTATTTATTATAACTTTGATATTATCTTTCCCGATCTTACTTATCTTCAATCTTATATAATGAACTTTGTATTCCATAAGCTTATTATTTTATATTTTTATAAATGGTTGTTATAGGTTCTCCTAAACAATAAAGATGCCTCGAGTAAGGAGACAAGTGGTCTTGGAAGATCCTGCCAGGCCTGTCACACCAGACATGGTGGAAACTAAATTATGTATGTATCAATTACTAGTCATTTCATAATTTTCATTTAATTTAGCTACATACTTGGTATACGCATGAATTACTTTTAGTGAAACAAGAGTTTTTGGACGATGGCTCTTTGGATGAAGTTCAAGCACAAAAAGTGGCTGAAGAAACACCAAGTCCTCATCTTCAAGACCATCAATATGGACAAACACCTTGTTATCAAGTAACAAGGAAACCCACACAACCACCACCACGAACTGAAGTAAATAAGGCTATATTTACATACACATAATTTTTAGATCAAACAACATTTCCTGGTAAACATATTAATCAAATATGATATTTTCAATCAACGTTGTTTAAAAAAATAATTAAATTCTATGATAGTAAAATCAGTATTGCAACATATTAATATTACTTTGTTTTGTTATGTTTTTATAGCAAATATCAGTTCAAGCAGTGAAACGAAGACTGAATCTGGAAATGGGAACTACCGGTCCTAGCCAATCTGCCTTCAAAGCCCCTAGAGGCAAACGTAGGAGATCTGGATCGAGTTCTCTGGCTGGCCACACTCCTACAAAAAGTAAATTTCCCTTCTTTCACCTAAAATAATATCCTTCACATCTTCGAGGAAAAGAAATGTTATCTTCGTTTGCAGGTAAAACGGTAGAAAGAACGCGGTACGATACATCACTGAGCTTACTTACAAAAAAGTTCATACATTTAGTCGAGAGCAGTCAAGACGGCGTCGTAGATTTGAACGTAGCGTCTGAAAAGTTAGAAGTACAGAAACGTCGTATATACGACATTACGAATGTATTGGAAGGCATAGGTATTTTGGAGAAGAAAAGTAAAAACAATATACAATGGAAGTACGTTATTCATCGTTTATCAAGAATTAAATACCGAATTCTTCTACTCGAATGGTAAATGTAATTATTTTATTTTATAGAGGTGGTCAGTTACCAAACGATAGGAATGATATCGCTGATCTCAGAAGGGAAGTGGCAGATTTAGAAGCTAAGGAAAACACCCTGGATCGATTGATTCACGGCGCAGACAAAAATCTTAGGGAGCTCTGTGCAGACAGACAATACGCTTATGTAACGTATCACGATTTACGTTCTGTCCCAATGTACAAAGACCAGGCTATAATGGCAGTAAAAGCTCCGCCAGAAGCCACACTTCATGTTCCACAACCTATCAATAACCTTGGTCAGCAAAAGGTAGCTATTTTTCTTCATAAAAATCAATCAAAATTAGAACCATCCATATTTCTTTATCACTTATTTATTGTGTTATTTCTACGCTTACAGCTTCAAATGCATATGAGGTCATCTCATGGCGAGATAGAGGTATTCCTCTGCCCTGATGATCCTACAGTCAAAACGTCCCCCAATCCGGGTTACACGACGACGCAACCTGTGCCTTCGTCAAAAGAATCCGAAATACCTTGTCTGCCTCCTGAACTTCTAACCAATGAAGAAAGCGGAGTTCGGGTTGAACCAGTACCTTCTGTCGAGAGTTCGTTGAATACTCGTTTGTCCACACCGGTTATATCTGCAGTTACCAGTTTAGCAGGCATGAGGGACGCACTTTTGTGTGAATCTGATGATTATGGACCAATGGGTGGAGGCAAATTCCAACTCCAAACGGAGGATCAAATTAGCACTTCAGGTAGGATGGCGTATATCTTCAAAACCAGGATTTATTAAGATTTACTTATTATTCTTTATTTTGCCTTCTTTTCTATTTTCCCTATTTTTTTTTCTTTTTTTTAATAAAATTTGTGAATGGTTTTAGATAAACGGAGCTTAAGATTTAGTAAAGTAAGGCCAATGCATCCGCATGAATATTAATTTTTATTCTTTTTTATGAAGTTGTATCATGATTATTTATTTTTTTATGCTGCCCTTCTTTGTACACACGCTTTTAAATGTATCGCATATTTTATCACGAATGTTGGGTATAGGGTACTAATAATTGCAAGAAGGTGAATACAACCATTTTAACGTAAATATGTAAATAAAAATAGTATATATACATATATATATATATATATCTTGAATACAAGTATTAGGCTTGTTTTTATCTCCTTGCAATTACTTTTGAGTTCTTTAAGTTTGTTATCAATGTATATTAACACATTAATTTATAACAATGCTTTAACAATTTAGTGCAAGATTCTAATTAATCTTTTATTAGGCTTTAATTAATTAATATTTCTCTTGTACATTTTTTCAACATTGTTCCCACTCCAGTTCTTATTTCTCTTTCTTTTGTCTTTTTTCTTTCTTTCTTGTTAACACAAATATACTTTTATTTTACTTTATTTTTTAATAAATGCTTTTTACACTGCACTTTTTTGTTTGTATACTTCCAAGATATTTCAAATACGTCTCTTTCTTGCATAAAAGAAATATTTATCATCTTAATATTCAAATTTTATTTAAATGCTTGAAAGAAACGTTATGCATGTCACTGATGAATTTTAGAACATCTCTAATAAAAAAATCTCTTAAAAAAGAAAGATAGTAAGAGTTGATTTTTCATTATTTATCGAGTTCCATTAACTCGAGCTATCTTTTTTTCCTTGGTCTTCTACCTTTTCAACAATGGAGGATAGCCGTACCCTGATGGAGCTCTGGCTGTGACTTGTGTGTTAACCAAATAAAAGTCACATCACAGGCAGAGTTCTAGTTAGGTAACGGTTTCAAACAGCAAAGCTCGTGTCGCACGAAGGTACGTTTCATGGATAAAATAATTATTGGCTTGTTTGTATTTCAATGCAATTATATATGTGTTCTTTTTCTTTTGGCATTCACCTCATTATTGAAACAAATTGCTTTTAATCCTTCCACTCTATTTCACAGAATATCTTGCTATTTTTCTTGATATTGTATTAATACCCAGTACATTGGTAGTTTATTAATAATAATAACCTAAGCAAAAGTAGGCAACCTTTTAAACGACATTAAAAACTAATCACTTTTAATTTTATAATTTTCTAGAAATTTGATTATAGCATGTTTCTGCTTGTAATAAATTAGTCAATACCAATATATTTATTTATTACTAGGCTGTATAAATAACTCATGAAATTTTAATATTATTAAAAATAAATAACAAAACCAATCGTAATCACGTAATTTACTTATTACATGACTATACGTATAAGCGTGATAAAAATATGTACATGAATCTTTGAATATCATCGCGAAACAATTAAATGGACAATAAATTAACATAACGATTTTAACAGTTTAACTGTCGCTAATTAATATTTAATTTAAATAATAAATATTCTTGCTTATTATGTTCCAAAAATAAATCAAATAAGTTTTAATGTTCAAATGTAACTGGACGTTTTCTCGAGAACGTTCTATGAAACTAAAAGAGATAGAAGTCCTAGGAGAAAGAAAAGAAATGAAAAATGCGAAAATGTTCGATGAGACGGGACAAACCCAGCATTCGCTCTCTCTCTCTTTTGTTGCAGATCTAAGTATTCTTGATTTCGGTGAGCACCTGCTGTCTCTGGAACCGCCTCTTTCCGAAAACGACTATTCGTTCGCGTTAGGCACGGAGGAGGGACTTTCGGATCTCTTTGATTTCAAATTCTAAAGGATATCGTCCTAATCGTCGTCGTCGTGACACGCAATACAAGCAAAGACCCCTGTCTTTTTTGGACTACCACTCTGAGTTCGCCTCCTTAGTATTCGAACGGATAGAGATCACTTGGTTAATCCAATAATACTAGCGCTTTCGTATCGATTGACAATTTTTCTTTTATTAACTTCAAAGGGAACGATCGAACAGAAAACGTAGTAGCGTACGAATCATCCATCGGCCCATTATACAAATTGGGATAAAAATAAGGAAAATACAGGAACAGGGATACTCCGACAATTATGTTTCAAACGCGATCAAATTCACGTTACAATGGAAATCGACACGTTGCTCTGACAATTTTTTTTATCAATAATAAATAATTCTGCTTCTTATATAATTTTTGTAAAGACAAAGAAAGATGGACACGTGTGTAAATATATTAAAAAGTATACAGATAGAACGTGTTATTCGAGTACCGGATAGTATTTTATCAAAGTTTTTTTTTTTTTTTTTTTTTTTTTTTTTTTTTTTTTTTTTTTTTTTTTTTTTTTTTTTTTTTTTTTTTTTTTTTTTTTTTTTTTTTTTTTTTTTTTTTTTTTTTTTTTTTTTTTTTTTTTTTTTTTTTTTTTTTTTTTTTTTTTTTTTTTTTTTTTTTTTTTTTTTTTTTTTTTTTTTTTTTTTTTTTTTTTTTTTTTTTTTTTTTTTTTTTTTTTTTTTTTTTTTTTTTTTTTTTTTTTTTTTTTTTTTTTTTTTTTTTTTTTTTTTTTTTTTTTTTTTTTTTTTTTTTTTTTTTTTTTTTTTTTTTTTTTTTTTTTTTTTTTTTTTTTTTTTTTTTTAAGCAGTTTCCGCGAGAGATCGACTGCACATAGTTGTTATCACGGTCGGCCCGTAAGTTTCGAAATTCGGCCTGTGCGTGGATAAGAGAAGTATCGAATAAACGGAGATTTGGGTGGGGGAGGGGTGGGGGGAGAAACATATCACGATAATGTTGAACGCGCGCGGTGAACACTTCCAGCTTGATACGGTCGCAGCCGATTGAGTTTATGGGATTAATAAGTTCGTAAAATAGCCCTGGTGGAGTCGAAGCGCCGCTTTCTTGTGCAATGTGTGTACTAATATTGTAAATGATGTAAGAGTATGAAGACTAGTTGTGAAAAAGAACGGTTGATATAGGAGGAAGAAGATATATTTGAAGTTTCAAAGAGAGGAGAGACTGGTACGAACAACTACGATGTTTCCCTTTTTCTTTTGTTTCTTTCTATGGTTAATTAATCGAATTGTATAAAATGAAAAATTATTATTATTAGAATCGATAGCGTATGAAAAGAAGAAGAAGAAAATAGTTTCGATGAAAAAAGATCCCTCCTAGAATAATGTTTCTATCGATATATATATATATATAATTGAAAAGATAAGAGCAACGGATAAAACGTTTTCCGGGCGGTCGCCTTTCTCTTGTCACTTGGACTGACTGATTGTTCTCTTTTTTCTAAATCGTGCGCTTTTACCGCCGAGAGACCGCCGTCCGGAATGGTCGAATTGTAATTATTAAAATATTTGTCGAGGCGATCGATGCGTACAGTAGGCTTTATCGACGAAGAAATCGTTTGTAAAAAGAGAAAATGATGATAAAAAAACGGAGTGTGAGGGAGAGAGAGAAAGAGACGAAGAAGATGAAAAGCGCGAGCGGCTGAAGGCATAGTTTTTATTCTATATACTTTTGTAATCGGTCGAATTTTCCGAATAGAGAGCGACAATTTGTACAGTTTGATGCATGAAGAAAAAAAAAAAAAAGAAAAGTATATCTATAATAATTGAATTTATCTATCGGTGCGGATGAAGAACATTTTGTGACATGTAAAAAAAAAAAAGAAAAAATACACACATAACGAACACGTACATATACGAAACATTATCATCTTACAGTACGATCTCCTAGCGAAAAAAATATTATTCAGTCTGGCTAATAGATCATGATCATCGTGTCGAATCATCGTCGTGTTGGATTAGCTTCTTTGACGATGTCGTAGCGAACACGGAGACGAACTCGAGCGTACGATGGGAAAGAAGGAGCATAGGAAGCAGAGGAAAAATCGTGTAAAAGCAGAAAACCTTAGGGCGTATCGTTGTATGCAAACGCACGTATATTTAATTCGAGTCGTAACGATGAAGAACGTTTAAGATTCTTTTTCAGGATACAGTGTTATTCTGAACCTGATTTATAAGAAAAAAGGGATTTTTCGAAGAGAATTTTGCACCAGTGTCAGCCTTGACTTCTGCCGCGTGAAACGGCGTAGAAAAAAAGAAAGAAAGTTTGAAAGAGTCGGTGTTTCAGTGAAAAATTTGATCAAGTACGAGGGAGGATCAAGATGACGAATATTTGTTCCTTGAGGAAGTCGAGGACGCATTGGAGGGAATTATCTCAACTGGAAATCTCTTAAGGATGTACCCTAAACGTACAACTTACAATTAGTGTACGTCCAAAGCCATAGTGCCTACACAATAATGATCACACCCTTCTGCAAAAGAACTGTAAATAATTTACATACTATACAAAAATATATGAATATATATATATATTATATATATATACATACACACAGACAGGCAAAATGTAAGAACGTGACGACCCCGATGGACAAAAACGGAAATAATAGAGAAAGAAAAACCGGATGCTGCGGACACCTCATTGCGATTATCACGATATATCGATTAGTTAGTTTTAATTACGATTAATAATTAATTATTGATACATTACACGAGGAAAATGTTAGTTTATAAATTCACTTATTATATATATATTATATATATATATATATGTACGATGTATATGTATATGTAATAAGTACATATGTTTTATAGTCAAGCGAATATTGTGCAGAATAATCGCTGGATTCTGATTACTTGCAAAACTAGGAAACTTATTTTCTCTTTTTTTCCAAAAGCATAGGAACGCGAAATGTTTCTTCTAGCTGTACGTGTATTTATTTCAACGAATAACTCATAACGAATAGCTCATTTTTCAGAGCAAAAGAGAAACTATTAAATATAACTTTGCCTCTTGTCGTTTTACCGTCGAATGAAATAAATAAGATGAAAATCCTTGGATAACGTTATTTTGCACAATGTTCGTAGCGCGCAATACCTGTCTGCAACAGAGAGGGTTGTATTAGTTTCGTTTCTCGTTTCTTTTTCTTTCTTTTTTCTTTCTATTCAATTGATGGTATCGTGCTTTTCTCATACGCATCGTGCAACGAGAGGGTAAGCAAAAGGGAAAAAAAAAGAAAAACAAAGGAAAGAAGAAGAAGAAGAAGAAGAAGAAGAAAACGCGAATCAAGAGAGTGCGTGAGCGTGTGTGAATGGACGTGATGATCGAATGATGATAATTGATACGAATGTTCGATGGTCGACGGTTCGATTAACGATCCCGACACGCCAGTGAGAAGTTGCGATATTTTCTACCTGAATGTTTGCGGGGATCTCGGCGAAGTCTGAGCGCGTCCGGGATTTTAAGAAGTATAATAACAATGGTTTATTCATATTGTATTTTTTATTCTGTTCGAAGAAGGGCTACGTTGTAAAAAACACATCGATTATAAGAAAAAAAAAAAAAAGAAAAAAGAAAAAGGACGAAGCTACGAATAACGTTGTGACGTTTTCAGACTTACCGGGATCTGTTTACAATAACTTATCGCGAAGATGGCAGTCCATCAGTTTTCATTTTTTAAACTCGATTATCCGTGAAAAAAGAAATTTCTGGCTCGCTTCTGGCAGTCTGTCGAATAAGACGCTTCTCGTATTTTACAATCGACAACAGAGCCTTTCCTCAATTCTTTTTTCTTTTCTATTTTCGTTTAGTGGCAGTTTTATGATCTTCACTTAACGCGATCTAACTCGGCCCTAAGCATCGAGAATAAATTATTATTGTTGTTAGCGGCGAGCAACAACGACGATTCGATTATTTAAATTATCAAAGAAAACGTAAAAAAGGGAGTATAATAGAAACGCGTTGCTTTAGATATTCTTGTATAGATATTCTTTTGGAATTCGTTCGATTCTAATTCGTCGATGATTTTTTTCATCGCTATTCGCGTGCACGCATTATATACACGCAAACAAATACACTTTTCTACGAATGTATTTGAGAGACTGTTCAGAAATATTGCTGAAAAAAGTACAGAAATTAATTCTGATCGATTGTCTTAGAAAGAAAAAAAAAAAAAAAAAAAATTGAGCGATGTACGTACCAATACGACGAATGAGAATTTTGTCACATTTTACGGGCATGACCCGTCGAACAGTAAAAAACAAGACGAAAAAATGAAGAAGAAGTTACAAAATATAACCTTGTGTAACGTCATAGGGAGATGTGATGTTTTTAATTTTCCACAACCTTTGTGTTTTGCTTATCACGCCTTATTAGACGAAAAATTATGGTTTTCGTTTACCTTGTTATATACATATACAAAGCAGTAAGAGGATGTATTTATTTTTTCGAATCGGCATTTCCGTTGTTCGACGTTAAACACTCGTTGCTCGACTCGATTTTAATTGCTACTCTGTATATAATTTTGCACCGGAAAATTCGTTCGTGAAAGTTGTGTACAAGTTCTAAATGTCTATATCAAAATAACGAATAATGTAGCAGAAGAAATATTTTTATGTACGTTTAATACGTATAACGGTATGAGAAAATAAAGTATCAAAACTTGATTTTGATCATTATCAACGTATTTACGCTTGTTGTACATGCACCATTATGAATCCGCATAAGTAAAGCGATTTATAATTTTACCGCTTAGATCTATGATCTTGATATTTTATTTCGATTATAATTTTGTCAAGGGATAAGAGAAAGAAATTAAAAAGTATATATAAAAACATTAATCGGTGCTTTAATTAAAGAAGAAGTTTACGCATTCACCTTGTTTCAAATGAAGAGCGCATGCGCAATGTTTGCATATTACTACTTATCTTCGCGCTACGGTAAATCGTTCGCCATTCCCGCGTCAGCGCTCGAAGTGTGAACATCGATTGTTTCTTATATATGTTGACGTTTTTTACATGTATCTTACAATCTTATCTAAGAAAAAAGGAACGAAACTATGAATATAGAGATAAAATTTAGACACAATGTAAATATGCTACTAACGTTATTGATTATTTTCGTACTTTGTATCGATACATCATAGGTTAGGGTTAAGATAAGCAATACATAATAACTGTCGTACATTTCACAGATTCTACATTTGGCTTAAAAAAAATATATATAACTGTTGTTATGTCAATTGTTTGTAGCCGATATGCAATACTTATTTTAATATAAAGAAATATATCTAATGTTTTGATGTTTACCTTTATTCATGTTGCACATATCTGAGTCTTGAATTAAATTTAAAACAAATCCGCGTTTCAGGCATGACAAATGCGCAAACGAAATATCACTATCATTGGAACTTTTATCACTAGCATAATCGTTGGTATTGTGAATCAGCCTTTTCATAGGAACATGTAACACAAAGCAAAAGACGCTTTATTCAAAGTTCTGCTTTAAATTGATCAGTGGGAATCAATTGTTTTCCATTGGCGCGAATTATCGGGCAAATTTCGGCGATATTTAAAACTATCGGCTCAAAAACTAACAGTCAAAATAAGCAATTCAAAAGACACGAGCATGCCGCCTAAGTGTAAATTTCAAGAAGGTACTTCACGTTTAATTTTTAATGTATCGAAGGTCTTAACGTATATTTAATGAATTTTTATCAATGAATAATAAATATTTTCAATAATATTTTCAATAAATATCTTCTAATTTGTAGGGGAGAAGGTTCTGTGCTTTCATGGGCCATTAATATATGAAGCAAAATGTCTAAAGTCCTCCATTACTAAAGAAAAGCAAATTAAATATTTCATACATTATGCAGGATGGAATAAGAAGTAAGATTTTGTTTTACATTGTATATTTCTAATAAGATTGAAATCATAAATACATTTGTAATATAAACAGTTGGGATGAATGGGTTCCTGAAAGTCGAGTACTTAAATACAACGAAGCAAATGTACAAAGACAAAGGGAGGTTCAAAGAGCACATTCGAATCAACAATCTGCACAGAAAAATAAAAAGGGTAGTACCTCGTCCAAAACTCAAGGACGTAGGAGTGAAGGTGGTCGTGAGAAGGATACTGATAGTAGAGCTAGCACTCCTGTTGCAACAGTTGATAAAGGTGTCAGTCGGTTCAGTAAAAGTACTGGTAGTAGCGTTACGCCATCGTCGTCACATGATTCCACATCAGATGCACCACGCAAGAAGCGCAGGTTTGTCTAAAAAAGATTTCACCAATTTTTACAAGAAGCTTAACTTTATGTGCTAGATGTATAAAACGAAATACTTTATTGTAGCCGATTAGAGCCATCTGGTGAAACGGAAGAATATCTCACTAAAGTGGAAGTTAAAATTAAGATACCAGAGGAACTAAAGTTTGTACTTATAGATGAATCAGAAGTAATATTGAAATATCATAAATTACCTGCTTTACCTGTGAAAAATACAGTTGACAAAATTTTAGATGATTATGTAGACTCAAAGTCGGTAGGAAAAAATGACTCTGTTAGGTACTTGCATCAGTAGTTTTCATATAAATATCTGTCAGTTTTCTTCGTTCGAAGATAAATAACCTTAAATTCTGAATTATTTTCAGGGAAAGCACATTAGAAATAACTAAAGGTATTCGCGAATATTTCAATATTTCTCTAGGATTGCAATTGTTATATAAGTGGGAACGTCCACAATTTATACAAATTATGAATGATAATCCTGAAACACTGCCCAGTCAACTATATGGTGCATTTCATTTACTAAGACTATTTGGTACTATTTTTAAGTATACTTTGTAATAACACTCTTATGTATTTATCATCGAAAATATTGCTATTATGTCAATTATTTTTGCAGTGAGACTTGGAGGAATGTTGTCGTACACTACATTGGATGAAAGAAGCATACAATTGTTACTGTCTCACTTTCATGATTTTTTACAATACTTACAGAAAAATAATACTGAACTTTTTAATCTTCAACAAGACTATGCAGACTCACCACCTGATTATCACAGGAAATATGCCTAAGTTAGTATAAATGTTTGGATACTTTTAATTAAACCCAGCAATACTGCAATATTTTATCTGAGATTATTAATAAGGCAGCTACAATACTTCTTCAAGAAATATATATATGTACATTTACGCGTTATTAGAAATTATTCAATATAGAAGATAGAATAATATAAGAAAAATCTTAAGGATTGTAAAAGTTGTGTTGAAATATTCTCGAAAATTTTCCGTTGTGTGAATATAGCATTTCAGTTTATTAAGTGCACAAAAAATGTAACACATTTTATAGTATATGAATTAGTTTAGGCTAAAATATTAATATGAATAACATGAATATATATATATATATATATATATATATATACATATATGCATATATACATGTATATATACATGTATACACATATATATATATCTCTTTTATTTATTGTAAATATAATGTATTACGATTTTACTATCTAATTACAATTTTATACATGTTTGGAAATACTCAACTCACGAGCGTAGCTTGTGTTTGATTAATAGCATTCTAAATGCACGTTTTATCTCTTCTTGCTTTTTTAACAGTCTTCAGGTAAAATTATGTTCAATTACCGAGATTAAAAAATTACGTTATGTATATTTATTATGAATTAAATGTACATAGTAGAAATTTATGTTGTTATGTATAAATATATGATTTTATTTATATGATATGAAATTATGATTTTATCGTATTTTCCAAACAAGATATCAATCATTGACTGCCTATGTAAATTGTAAATTTCAATGATACGATCAAATCATAAACATTCTTACAATATGCAAATTGTTACAATGCATTACATTGCATTCATTTATATAAGAATAGACATTTCGCGTTACATAAGATGTATTATTGTTTGATATACGCATATATAGATATATGTATGCATATATAGATAAACCAAATGCAGTACAGTTGCATTCATCTAAATCCATGTTCATTTTTTCTGGGAAATAATATTTAATGACGATAAAATTAGGTTTTTGCGATGATCATCTTTCTTGTATTTATATAGGACTAAGCAGTCGATAACAGCACATGTATATACACAATGAAAGTCGACGAGAGTAATATATACAGTTAAGTGCGTACACAAACGTATCATCTAGTCTACAAACATCGGGTCAGTCAGTCAGTGGCAAGAAAAAATGGCGGATGTCGAGTTGAACGTCGACAACCTGATACAAAGATTGTTGGAAGGTACGTGATAAAAAGGGAGCCTATGTGAAAATAAAGTGTGAAATTGTTTTCGGTAATATCATCTTCAGTTTGGTGTACAGTTGATTGAAAGTTTTCTCGGTAATACCCAGTGAAAATCGCTCAATGCGAAGTCGCGCCGCGTACATCGAGTATATATGTATACGATTTCTTTCCAGCCAAAGGAAGATTAAATCGTGCGCGATCTACTTTATGACATCCAATATCTGTGTATATTACGAGTCGACGAATGGTTTTCCTCGAGTCTCCTCGTTTGTCGAAAGTTCGTTTCTAATTCGTGGTTTGTAGGATATTAGAGAGAAAAGCACATATATATATATACATAAAAAAAAAAAAGAAAAAGATATCGATCTCTTCCAGTTGTTGCAGTCCGTCGTAATTCTTTAGACACGTCAGAGGTCTTTGGATTTATTCCGCACTTTTTCTTTACTTTCTCAGAAGGCAAAACTATTTCCTTTTGTTTGTTCTCTTTTCTCATGCTACATGTCGGAACACTCTTTGCGGTAAAGTATACCACACGCAGAAAGACCAGGTTCAGAAGAAAGCCAGGCTAAAAGATATTTTCTCTCCGGATTTTGCCGGTATGCAACAAGGAAACCACCCCATGTAGTTCTTTTTTCCGTTCTTTAGTTGCGCTTTTACCTGCCTCAACGTCGTGCGTGAACGCTCGCCATCGTTTGCTTATGATTTACGATGTAAAATAAAGTAGAAAGCTAGATATACAGCATTGTGGTACCTGCAACATCAAAATTTTCCCAAGATATCATCTTCATTCTCAGTCAACTCAATCATCATATTGATAATGTCCCATTAGCTTCTTTATGGCAAGAAACTATGTGTGAATATGTATGAATTTTCTATTAAAGTAAAGTACGTAAGTAAAATATAACTATATCGTAATGTATCTAATACCTGTTAGAACGCAAAGCTTTTGGGATTGTCTATATAATGAATAAATGCATTAAACTCAAATCACTTTCTTCAAATAATAAGCCATATTTATATAAAGGGTATAATTTGTAATGATCCAATTTGCACGTAAATTATTGCTTGAATGCAGGTTAATTTAAATGCATGTTTCATACGATACTTGTCAGTGTTGTTTTTAGCTTTCATACGAATAGTATGTGTACAATTATTTTCCATCTTCTTTTAGCGAATCGATTACTTTTTTAAGAAAATAGTATCACAATCTTCTTCAAGAACTTACGGCACAATTTGATGTATATTCATGAGTATGTTTTAGTATCAATGTTTATACTACCCTGGCATATGTTTCTTTCAATGTGTTCAGTTAATAAATATACATTACAACACTGACTTTCTTAAGCATATTTGTTGCGAGCCTATTATTTGACGTACATATATTATAAGAAGGCCAAATTGTTTGTTATGTACCAGAAAGATTAATGTATATAACATATGTGTACCATTGCTTAATAAGGAAATTTATTCTTCTGAGAGTTGCAAAAGGAAACTTATTTAATTTGAATGAAGATGTTAATGCTTGGCGAAGAAAAATCATTTTGATCTTTCCTGCGTGCCTACAGTACTATCTTTGTATTTTATCGCGAACAACATTTCCATGAAACGTTTATTACAATATACGAATTGATAACGCTGTTGAAATGAATCGTAATACGTCGCGGCTAAAGAGCAGTTCAAATTATCGCGTGTGTGAGCAAATATAACGATGACGATGACTACAATTTTTTCATCGTACGCCCCGTTTCCATAAATAAACCGAATTATTAATAGACTTTATTTCCGACATTTTGTCATTTTCGAACTCTCTGTTATTCTTCCGCTACAGGAATTCCGTCATTTTTTTTTTTTTCTGTCTCTCCCTTTTCGCCATTAATTATGGTGCCTAGATACTCGTTGATGTGACCTTGCTGATATGCAGTTTTCCAATAACCATCATCGGCCCAGTTTAACCACACCGTGAATTCCTTTATAGCTATAAATAATCCAGTGACACTGATGCAAGGTTCCGAAGAGTAATCTGCGAACGAAATTTCATATTTCTTTGCTCGTTCGTATACGTATACATACGTACAACGTACTCTTGATATACATGCATATACATATTATATTCTATACGTTACTGTAGTCTATATTCATATATCACGATCAGTGGTATCTACACGTGATCACCAACCGGCTTCGAGCTTTTGTTTTCAACTGTTCCGCAAGTTTACGCTCATACGGTATTATTCGAACTCATACAGCCGCTTAATCCCTTCGAAGCATTATAACGACGGTGTACGACAACCATTTGTGTCCCCGAGTATTGCATCAGGAGAACACCTATATCGCATTGCTTGATGTTTTTATGATTAAACCTCTTGCGTTCTTGCGTCTTCGATCTTAACGGAGAAGATCATATATGTATAATACCGTTGCCTGAATGATAATTTTTCATTACACGAATATTTTAATGTAAAAAAAGAAAAACGATACGAGATAGTAAAATCTAGATATTTATTTTTGTTTTGAAGAATCAGCCTTAAAAGTTGTCATCGAAGGAAATCACGTTAACGCTGTCACAGATGAAATTTCATCCCGTGTGCATTTCTCTTTTATTTTAAAAATTGATAATTGATTAAACAAATAAAATTAATATATTCCATTATAGAACTATTTTTTACAAACTTACAATACATTTAATATTACGGTATCAATGGAAACTACTAAGTGCGTAATAAGGTACTCGTACAATTTTATTCTTCGATTAAATATTATAATTGCGTATAAAACGAAATTCACCGATCGAACATGACAAAACAAACATGCACAGTGTGGAATTTCATTTACGTTAGCGTTTAATGGATTTAAACACGAAATGTGATATATGAATAACGAACTTTGTCATTCGAGTCGATCGAAAAAAGATTAGCCACCATTAGTCCCGAACGTGTCCAGATTGTATTTATGTAAGCAACAAGAGAAAACCCTACCGAATAGGACGATCCGTGGAATCCGTATAATCGTATTACCCTTGTTTTTCCCCCTTTTGAGAAAAAATCGACTCTCGGCAGTCAGATACCTTCATGCTCCAGCGTAGAGTTATGCTCGATGTACCTGTGACAAAACGACTCTCCGATGTCTCGCGATGCGTCGCCCAACCCCGGGGACAGAGGCAGGAAATCCATTTAAACGTGCGAATTTTTGGGCGCAGTCCGAGGATGCCGGCCAGGAAAGACCGTCTTAATGTCAGAGGGCGAGGTCCGCGGCCTTTGCCTCAAGTCACGGGAGATTTTCCTTCAGCAGCCGATCCTGCTTGAACTGGAGGCGCCGCTTAAGATTTGCGGCGATATTCACGGCCAGTACACCGACTTGTTACGGCTATTCGAATATGGCGGTTTCCCGCCAGAGGCGAACTACTTGTTTCTCGGCGACTACGTAGACAGGGGCAAACAATCGTTGGAAACGATATGCTTGCTGCTCGCTTACAAGATCAAGTACCCGGAAAATTTTTTCTTATTGAGGGGCAACCACGAGTGCGCCAGCATAAACAGGATATACGGGTTCTACGACGAATGTAAGAGAAGATACAACATCAAACTATGGAAAACGTTCACCGATTGCTTCAATTGTCTACCGATCGCTGCGATCATCGACGAGAAAATATTCTGCTGTCATGGCGGCCTCAGTCCAGATCTTCAGGTGATTCGATATCGATCTCTGCAGAAAATTATTTGCGAAATTTTCGAAATTAAATTACCGGGGATTTTTATGTTTTTCCATGTGTGTACATATCAACGAATATGTTTTTAACGCAGATGATGATTTATTTTGAGGATGATTCTGGGGATAAAAGATCGTGGGATAATTTACAATTTACTTCCTTATTATTCGTTGTTAAACGACATATATATATTTTTCCTTTCTGTAAGTTTTTATAATTTCCTATAACATCGAAAGAATTAGTTTTAGGATTTATGTCGATTCTATAGATATTCCTTCTTCTCTGTGAGTACTTTATGCTCATAAAGTCATATACTTTTTTGTAACGCTCTATATAGTCTGATATTTATTTGTGTCTATGATTATTGAATTTCTACGTAGTTATTATCTATAGGAATAACAATCGCGAATGGTCAAAGAAATAACAAAGCGAAAGATCGCAAAAAGGTATTTACGCGAGAGATATTTTAAACGTTGGATAAGAGGCAAAATTTTTCAAGCAAGAATTCATTCCTGTAATGTTGCGTGCGGAAGTGGCGCGTTAAAATCGATACGGCATTAAAGAGCATTTCTTAACAAGCTAAACGGAAAATTTATGAAATACACGTATGTCCATTTGTATAAACGATTAAGCGTCTTAAAGTTAATTCGTAAAATTTCTCGCTACTATCCTCGGATAACTTACATTTATTCGAAACACGTAATTAACAAACAAATTATAAAATATGTTGGAATTTGCGATGCACTGGGAAATAAAGAAGAATAACTAATATAAATGGAATCTATATTTAAAACAGAATTTTCGATATTATTTTTAAGGCGTTAAGAAGAGTTAAAATTGCGATTGTTAGCACGCAACTGTTGATTGGCTTATACATATAATGAAGCGTGAAATTCGTTGATTTATTTAATCCTGTTGCAGACGAATATATGGTATGAAATTTGTACTCGCCAGGGAGATTTAATATTCGATTTTCATCAAAAAAAATAAGACCTATATCGATGAGCGTACTTTAATATTCTACTTCTATAGCTTCTACTATTTAAAAATTAAATTCCATTAACCTTGGCTGAATTTGGAGCTAGATCTGGCTCGTGTCCATTGCGTATCCATATTTCTCGAATCTTTCGTCTTTAATTGAAACCTTGTGTAGCATGTTCGTTCACGGAGGAAGATTTATAAAAGAACTGGCCGCTGGAAATATTGATTTTCTATTTATACTCAATGTAAGAAGGAAAATATTAAAAGTTTGATCCCTGTTAGAATGTCAAAAGATTAATATCTTTATAAAATAAACTATCGATCTTTTGTCATTCATAAAAAAAGGTCACTTCTTGAGAAAATTTCTTTCATAAATACATTGCTACTCTGTTTTTGCCGTTCGATATTTTCTTCGATAAAAATTTGTAACAATAAGAATTATCGAAGAATTTTCGAGGAAAGCCTACAAGATAAGATAGCGAATTGTCCTAGTCCTTTTTTAATTATTAGCTACGTTTAAAGAACCTTCTCTTTAATATTTACAAAATACATGAAAGTTTTATGAAACGATTCTGCATTTAATAGACCCTTCTTTTCGGAAGGTTTTTCATTTATTACGTAATTAATGTAATTTAATTTCATGTTTAACGATATTTCCATCATAAAATTATCGACTCTCAAAAAATGTACAATAAAAAATATTTATTTACTATCTAGCAGAATATGGAACAAATCAAAAGAATAATGCGTCCGACAGATGTACCTGATACTGGCCTTCTCTGTGACTTGTTATGGTCCGATCCAGATAAAGAAGTCCAGGTATAATGTTTCTTCGTTGTGTAATCATTTATCGTCGATTCTTCCGAAGTAATTCCAAACTAATACATTATGGACTTTTGTCTTCTATGTTTTAGGGATGGGGCGAAAACGATAGAGGTGTATCTTTCACATTTGGACCAGACGTGGTGTCGAAGTTCTTAAATCGTCATGATATGGACTTAATATGTAGAGCACATCAAGTAGTCGAAGACGGTTACGAGTTTTTCGCGAAACGACAATTGGTCACCCTGTTCTCCGCGCCAAATTACTGCGGGGAGTTCGACAATGCCGGAGGAATGATGAGTGTTGACGAAACTTTAATGTGCAGTTTTCAGGTAGGATTTGTGAATATTCCATGATGAAATAGTAATGTTCGCTTAAAGTCCAATAAATCAGGGTACTAGATTGTAATTTATGTTAAAATAAGGAAGAACAAATGAGACTGCATGTAAAAATGCAATCAATTATATATAAAAATGGATCATCCGATCGCCTATCTATCACTCTAGTTTTTGTCAATAAGTTTAGGCTACGCTGAGCCTGAGATATTCAGTAGTTGAGAATAATTGCGGTCATTTGAATTTGGGTGAAACATTTGTATTGTATTTTAAGCGAGCACTACTGCATTATAATTTGTTGAGCATTGCATGGTGCATTTCGTTCATGTCTTATCTATTATTCATGGTGTACGTGCAGATTTTGAAACCGTCAGAGAAGAAGGCTAAATACCAGTACTTAAGCTTGAATACGGGTCAAGCCACAAGACCATCTACACCACAAAGGAATCCAGCCAAAAAGAAATGACAGCCTTGTACTCGGTTTTTCCTTCATTTAAGGAAGCTCGTCGACAAGGCGACAAAATTTTTATTAAGGCGCGAACATTAAGAGCATAACATTGTATGATATGTTCTATCACTAACTAGCGGTTATGCCAAACAGATGAATAGTAAAAAAGAAAAAAAAAAACAGGAAAGAACGGGTGAGACACGTAGTGGTATTTGTGATCGTTAAAGACTTTAATAACAAAAGGCAGATTTAATTTCTTTTCTTCGAGTATGATTTAAATATAGCATTTTAAGTAATTATTATTATGTTGACTGATTAGTGATTAAAAGGTAATCGTATATCGATAGAACTCGCCCGAGTGTGCTTGTTACGAAAAGTTTAAAAACAAACAAAAACCAAAAAACAAAAAAAAAAAAGGACGGTAATTCTGACTTCGCTAATGTTTTTTCGTGAGTATTACTTTTCATATTTTAGCACGAAGACGCCAAGGGAAAGGAGTAAAATTTACCTCTTTCCTGATTTACATCTGATTAAGATAATTAATATGATAATAAAAAATTAATACTTTCTTTTTTCATTGGATTTGGATCAAGGATCACTTCTCTGTTCTCTGGACAATTATGTAGCTATATCTTCCAGATCCGAATGATTCTTTTATTGCCATTAACGTTTCCAAGAAATTTCCACATTCTCATTTTGACTATTTATTGCTTCCATGTTCAATGTTCAGTGTAATTATTAGATATTGCTGATTATTCCACTTACTCTTATTGCCATCGCTTTGCAGCTGATTTGATTAGAATTGTTTAATGAAACGCGCTGTATCATGTACATAGATATTCTTTCATTTCGCTCTACGTTTATTTTTCCGTTTCTTATATTTTTCTTCGTTCGCGTTAAGTCGTATTTCTATGTACACACACGATTAAATACTTATTTTAGTTTTCAGTATTCCAAACTATCGACAATATGTTTCAAGGTATGTTGTAGAAATGTTAGATTGTTTATTCTCTATGAACGAAAAATCAGAGAAAAAACAGAGAACCAGTATTTTTAAGATGATGATTTTATGCAGATTATTATTATCGCCTTTATTCGAAGGACATATGCTCGAACGAAACAAATGGGTATTAAAGAAAATTAAAAAGATATTAATTCAAACGCAAAATATAATTATTAACGAGATATATGTATTAGCACTTTGCGTGTAAGAAGAAGAATCTCAGTCGTTGAGAGATTTTTAATCTTGCGATGAAATAGATCGAATACATACGTATTACGTATATTAAAACTGATTTACAGGCTATCAAATCGTCGAAATGCAATTATTATTGGCTGATAAAAAAAAAAAGCCCTTGGATGATTGCCATTTATAAGAACGTACTATTTCACTTTCAGATGTTTTCGTCGCTTTATTGTTTCGAATGTAACTCGATTACGTAATTAATTGATACGAGGCAATAGGCAGCATTTAGTACTGTACTACCTAATACGTGCTTTGGTAAAATAGTAACATACACCGTATTTCATTTTTGTTCGTACTTCGTGAAACATTTATTCTCTTCGAATTGTTTTAAGGAGAATCCGTTCCTTGCAATTAAGTACGAGTTAATATTTCTGTTATGTTGTGCAATATAAAACGTAGTTCGCATAAATGAAAAGTCTTTTAGAAAGTATCGGAAACGATTTGAATACCAACGTCTATAGGAGATAAGTATCTAAGAATATTTACGAAGAGTACATTAAAATGGAAACAATACACTATTTGAAAAAAATCGAAAAGAAAAAATAAAAAAGATATATATATATACATATATATATAAAAGTAAAACGAAATGTAAGTACATTAGACCGCACCATGTCATCGGAATAACTTACATAGTTCCAGAAACGAACAATCGTAAAACGGTCAAACGTATTATCTGAAAGTGAAATAAATCGGATTCGATGCATTACGTTTAGATAATTGAATAAAAAAAAAAAAAAAGGACTAGCCAATTTGTTTATACAAATACCAAGTAATTTATGTTCGTTAAAATTGTTATTTATGCAGCGGGGATGAGTTATTGTGAACTTTTTTCTATAATCGTGAGAATTTTAATCGATTTATTATATCGTTATGAATTGTTAAATAGAAGACAAAAAATGGGCATATTTGACGAAGTTGGCGACAGTACATCGTTTTGAATTTACTCTTACTATTTAGATAATTCTTACAGAGGTCATGCGATTTAAAGCAAGCCGACTTAAAAACGGCCGTTTTTCTTCCCTCGTCACATTCTCCTCCAATGACCCTTTCTTCCTCTATTTCTCCCTCCCAATATAAGTTTAATTGTAAAAGAAGCGGTTGTGATCCCTCGATATGCGTTCTGTCCGAGACCCATAAATTATATACACAGATATTATATTTGTAAAGAGCCGATCGATCGGGATTCGACGATGCTCTATCAAATACGAGAATAAAGTGTAATTATTAAACACAAGTTGCGCGAACGTACATACATCGGCTACTGTCTATTGTTACACCGATCGAATCCCGGCAGAACAGGCCAATGCAATGGACATCCTAAAGATGTAAAACTTTCAGATAATAAACATGCATATTGTTGTACAAACCTGTTCCTTTGGGTTTGATATTTCGCTTTCAGACTAAACTTCTTTATATAAATACAGATGACGATGCAACAAAGAGGGAGATAGAGATGGAGATAAGATCACGCATGTAAGATCATAATTTCGTAGAGAAAGGAGATTTGTAGTAAAATTTAGGCAGTGTTTATTTTATTCGTAGACAGCACGAACGAATAGTACAATAAACCATGGTGATGAGAAACGTTAATAAATAGAACTCCGTGGACGATGATACGTACTGTGAGAAAAAGAATAATCAGGCAAATAGGTATCGAATGGTTGCTTATAGGATACGATGTAAATACTCTTTCACATCTTTCTTTTTTTTTTTTTTTTTTTTTTTTTTTTTTTGTTAACTTTTTCGAGACTTTATTTGGCTTTTTCCATCGTTTATTTTCGTATCACGCGTTCCATGCGGGGCGGCACAGTCATCAGTAGACGTGAGCTGCAAAAAGATCGATCGATGGATCAGGCACAAATATCTATATCTAGAAGAATGGTGTGAACGTTGCTTCGAGAGTTCTAATCGCTTAAATATACGTTATCTGGCATCGAATCTTTTCAAATCCGTGAAAACGTGTAATACGGTGTTTTAGCTAGAACTCTCAAAGCGTAACGCTAGGATAACAGAGTAGGTATATATACACATACACGTACGTAGTAAAAATTAGAGTATCTTTTAACAGGGCAGGGAAAGGAATATCTTTACACGGTAAGAAAAATGTTTTCGACACGGATCGTGTTTCCGGTGTCCGTCGATATCTCGCGGGACATCTAAAGCTGATGTGTTAAAAAATCTGAAATTCTCTGCAAACACAAACTATCGACAAGTCTGTGGAAACGAGTATCTGTTGAATAATCGTGAACAAAGATCCGTTTATTGTTATTACCTTACTCCGGGAGTTTCTGTTTGCAGGACATGCTTCGATATTCTGTCGATATGTATACAATTGTATATTGATATGCATATTAGTCGAGTGAAATGTACATAGAGGAGCGTATTTCAAATAAAAATAACCTATTAGAGGGGACGTTGTAAATCCAGGCACATAAGTCACGTACAAAATTACAGACAAGATGTGTGACACTGTTTGGCAACAATTCTTCGTTTTCTATAACTTTTTGTTTTTTTTAATTGCATGAATTGTTTCGTACTGTAAACATGGTGAGTGATTTTATATGATCTTATGATGACACGGTTAGGTTCGATATATGTATTTCAGTCTCATTCGCTCGAACAGCCCAGGTAACACGAGCTATAATAATGATTCTAAACTTCGTTTAAGACTCGTTTTGTTTTCGTTCGTGTTACGTTTGTTACGTTTAGCTGCGTGTTAATTGATAAATAAATCTCATCGTAGCCAGAAATATGTACAGCATCATGACGTGATTCGTTCCATCTGATTATTATTTGTTCACAGAATTAACGTGTAAGGGTAACAGGATGCAAAACACTTGGCCACATTTTAATCTTATCGCTCACTTTGTTTCTTAATGTGTGGTACGTTTATTATACCACGGGCTGGTAAAGTGAAATCGTGGAACTGGCTTCGAATAATAGTAGTATAAGTCTCCTGAAATACAACAGATATATTCGAGTTGTATATCACTTTCCTTCACTAACAAGTCTTTTCTTCTAGCTCTTTTCTTACTATCGTTCTGTTTTATTTCGTTTCTTTTTTTTTTGTTACTAAATTTTATCCAATACTTTACCCAATTTCTTTTGAATCTTTATACATTATTTTTCACTGAATTTTTGAATATAACCTTCCTTATTGATCTTGTTTACGTTATCTTTACGAACGTTTGAAGCGATTAATTAATTAGGATCGATAGTTTTTATACGAATAGATACATATCTTCCACAGAAATAGCGGTCGATCGAGGCTTATGTTCACGTGACAATATAATGTTGAGAAAATCTAGCAAGTGAATGGCTTCGCATCAATGTGAAACCTTCGCGAGGTAAAACAATGCTGCAAAGTCAGCAACAATTGCGCAGTACCATTTCCAGTTTCTGCCAGTGATTTAAGCTAAATTAAATATTCTTATCGTCACACACGTTTCTCATTTCATTGATACACGAGAATAAATATTTGAATTTGATTGCTTTAAATACTCCTTTTCGCTAATTTAAATATCGATATTAACAAGTTGGAAAGTATCAAAAAAGAAATTTGGATATTATTAGAAAGTAATTTTGAAAAATTAGTTAAGATCGAATAACAGTTTCTTAGTTCTAAGCTTATTAAATATTTTCCTATTAAATTTTTTTAATAAAAATTTTTTTTTTTCAGTAATAATCGAATCGTTATGCCGTTGAAGAAGTAGGGCACAGGAATTGAACGAACAAAGAAGATATCGCCTCTTTGATGGCGATATTATTACCCTGACATTTGAATCGTGCGAGTACCGGAAGTATTAGTTTCACCATAACGCTCTTGCCTTTATTATAAAAAGAACAGGCTGTTTATCGACCCGAGCGTCTTGCAATTTAATAACGCGTATATAATTTGCTTTTCTATAAGTAAGTTTCAAGTTGTTACAATTTTTTATTAATATTTCTCTCTTTTTTCCTAAAAATTACAAAACGTAATAAACTGTAAAAAGTCAACTAGAGTATGGATTCCTACTCTGTAACCTAACCTAACATGGATTCCATTGTGTTCATACAATCTATTGTTCTTTAAACCACTTTCAACAAGTTTCTAGTAATAAATCTTTTATGCGATATCGACTGTCCGATTTGCGAAAGCAGCGACAGAGTTGAATAATGGTATTTTAATGGAGTGCGAAGCGAAGATGTAATCGTTAAATAATTAACTAGAGTCTGCCAAGAGAAAGGAATATGTACGTATGTACTTGGCTCGAATCCGGAAGTTGGCGTCTGGCACGTGCCGCCATGAATTTTGCGGTTTATCCTTTGAAGCAACCGTATCTGTACTCGAGCCAAATGGTAAACAATCGGTCAGATAATGCCAGATGTAATGCCATTTTATAATGTTACGTAACTAAGCACTCGATCGAATGTCGCGGAAAGAAATTTTCACTCGGAATGATTTAAGATTCTGTAAATAATTCAACGTTGATAACACATCGATATCATAAATAATTGATAACTACATCGCGTGTTCCTTTACCGTGAAAAGGTACAGTAACGTGCAAAAATTCGTAGACTATTGTTTGAATCTTGTTTCCCTGTTTAAGCTCTGTCGCTTTTGTTTTCTATTGTATTTTCGTTTCAAGCTAAATCCTAACTGTCTAGGAATTTTTGGACAGCCTTGTTTATTTAGATTTTGGTACTTTTCCTCGATTTTGCAATAAACAGGGATACTGCTGAATTTTTAAACCTGTTTAATTTAAGTAGTTTCTTTTTATTCTGCAATTTATTGCATCGTATCTACTAATTAGCGTCTTCAGGCAAATTTCGCTCCAATTGATTTAAATGCAAACTGTCTTTGGAGAGAAAAAAAAGAAAATAATGATATTTTCCTTAACGCGACTCTGATTCAATTAAAAAGAATTCTTAAAATATATTGCGATATCCTAAATTGCTTTCAACTGTTTTTCGCTCTTTATCTGAGAAAATTTCGTCGCTTGTACGAAACAGAAGTAAATTATTACCTACTTATTAAACGTTTATTTCTTTCGACAGAGTGAAGCATCTACCACGTATGAAACGATATAAATCTAATCAAATCGTAACGAAACAGATAACAAAATAAGAAAGGTAACGAATAATTTAACGTAAAAAAACAATAAAGGAAACAGGAAATATTCAAATAAAGTATCCATAGTACTCGTAGCAGTATTCAGAGAGTGAAACAAATCTCTACATAACTTTCATTCCTTCAATTATGTTCATAAAAATACAAATTTGTATAAACAAGCCCACGCTCTAATTATTATCGCTCATAGGACGAAGTTCTCGAGTAAGTACTCGAAACGAACGAACTACTTTAATAACCAAGAAGTGTATCAAGCTCTACTAGACCTACACCTGTACTACGGTGTTTTTGCAAATATTTTCTCAGACAAGGAGCGATCGTTTGTTTACGAAAGCATCGCCGGTAAAAAGATAAAGCGATTACGTACCGAAAGGCCTGATTGGATGTCGGCTCCACAGATAGCTACGTTTGACAGGACTAAGGTAACTGTCCCTCAGATAAAACGGGGTAGCTCTGGCAGCATAGTTGGGAATATAGGGAGCAAAGCTTGGGTACCACCATGGGTCTCTGGTGAAGGCACTGATCGGTGCCATTGGTGATGGCTCAAGAAGATCGAACAAAGGCTTCTTGCGTAACAACGAGGGGAAGGATGGTAAGTAATCGTAATCGGTCACCAAGTTACCTGGAATTAAAAATCATATTCGTTCACAGATTCCTCTCGGATTCTCTTTGATGTTTAATATCGTATTTTTCGCAGTTTGCAATTTTAACGAATCACACTTGCGTTACTCGAGTGGAAAATTGCGAAGAAGAAGAAACGTCAGTGTTTTCGATGAAAAAGTAAAAATTGCAATTGAACAGTATGTTTGAGACGTCAGATAGCGTTTTCAACTTCAGTTTAGATAGAATCAGTTACTCGGAATTTGAAATAAACGAGACGATCGGAATACGAAAGACAAAAGAGTATGTTTTAGATTTTAGCGGAAAATAATAGCTCTTTGTACTTTTAATGTCCGGAGCTATCGCGCTAAATCATGGTCGCGCAATTTCTTAAAATCTTTTCAACATTAGAACGCTATTAAAATCCGCACCACTTACAAATCTTCGTATTCAAAGTAACAGTGTTCACGTAAGTGCCCGATAAAATGTCATAAAGAGACAGCAATTTGATACAACGATTCGTCGATCTTCTTTAAAATCTTCTTCGCTATTAATCACACTGACAGTAAATTCATTACGTCAAATACACTTATTTTCTTGAGTTCTGAATTGAGACGCGATGCTCGAAGGAGAAACTCATTTAGAAAAGAGGAAGTGAAAGACGAGCAACGAGAAGTACTCACCGTGGATGTCGAACAATCGTTTCGTACTGAGAGGAGGGCTAATATGCCGAGCCAACAAAGGCGATTTGCTCGGATACAGCCTGTCGATGTCTGCCAAGCGGTTCAGATGATCGGCCCAAGCTTTCTCAGGGTCGAACGGTTTCGCTGTATCGTGATATTTATGGCAATGAAACAAAAATTTGCACAATGTTTCGTGCATTCCTGACGGTCTCTCCCCTCCCGACCCTCAATCTTTTGATACTCGGTCAAAATAATTAATCACAAGCACACCGGTAATTTTATCCGGCATCAACAAGCGTACACGAAATACACGAGAAGTCTTCCGTTTATTATTAGGCTTCGTATATTATTCGCAATCTATAGTTGTAAATTGACAGTGGATATCTTTTCATTATAAATTTAGCTTTTGCATGTATCTAGCGTAGTGGAAAAATTTACTTTTAAAAATAATTATATAGGATTTCTTTCATTCTTCTGACAGAATTTGCTTTTTTTTATTGTTGCGATTTTACAGATTAGAAATTATCATCATTGTTAGAATGTACTCTATGCTTTAATATATTTTGCTTCTCTTATATCTTGCGAATTTGTATTATTTTTTTTTTTTTTTTTCGTTTATGTAATCTTTTTCTGTCTTTCTTATTTATTTCAACCAGTTTGTAGGGTTCGACCTATACAGGAATGCAATCGATAGAGTTATGCAACATCGAGAATTCAACAAATCGCAGCATTAAGTGACCCGAACTTTTAACGCGCGCGACCGTTATACGAGATATTGATTTGTCCCGTGGGTAATCGATGACGAGGCGCGAATTTCTCGACGTTGCATGATCAAATAGACGACAGTGAGGTGACAAGAGCGCTTTTTTTTTTATCGAAAATCTTTCGACGAATCAAGTTTAACGGAGAATTATTCATATCTTATTTCAACGTTTAAGGAGTTGCTAATTTTCTTTCCACTTGATTTGTCACGTTACGATGTAAAAAATGCTCTCGTGAACTCAATATGTATATAAAATACGAGCAAAAGGTCGAATCAGATTTATCGTAAATCGAATTCAACTTTTTGTTGCAGGCTTGCAGATTCCTTCGAGTAAAGAAAGGATACACAGCTAATTAAAAATATTAAGGCGATCCGTACAAAGTAAATATTTAGTTTATTTTCTCGTTGTTAAAGAAGATATCCAAAGGATGGATTTTTCTAAAACACCTTGTACATCCGTGATCAATGGTAATAATTTTTTTGAAGAAGAACTTTCTATACCGGTGTAGAATATTTTTTAACGTTTAATATTTAGCAAATCGGAAGATCATTTTTTTTTTAATATTGCACAAAACAATTTTTATTTTCTCATATTACTGATTGCTTTTTTTTTTTTTATAGACTAGGTATCGAAACAGTTTGATAAAAAGTTAAAATAACGATTAAATTCGTTCGAATCGTTGATCAAACAATGAATGGAATCCATTTTTTTACTCGAGAAGGATTAATATTCCATCGGGAAGGACCGATGATATTCTATAGAAAAAAAAAAGAATGAAGAAACGTAGCAAGTCCACATAAACAACATGTCACTAAACTATTGAGAGGCTTGAGATTCATCTTCCCAAATTGTCTTTCTCCGATGAATCGTTCGATGTGTTTATCGTGTGCTACAATCTACGTATGATAAATGACACCTAATGTGAAAAACCGTGCGTACCATCGGTTTGATTTCGTCGCGAATCTGGCCGGAATCTGCCCAACTATTATTTATTTGCATTTCATTTTCTCTGGTTTAGTACTTTAGCTTTCGGCATCTACATATTCTTTAAAGAAAGATGTTTCTCTTGTTAGTAGCAGCGTTTTTTGTTAATCTTCCAGGCCGCAATGTCATGCACCGTTGGCTTTAATAAAAGACGCAGTGGTGTTTTAGGAAGAATATAAGAATAGATATAATAATTATTCAAGCGATTTAACTAAATTCCTTTAATTAGCTGTTTGCAGCTAAAAGTGTTACATGTACCAGATGTACATGTCGCTGTCGTTTATCTAATACTTGTTTATTGTTAAGCTTCCTTTTAAGGTGTTGCAGTAAAATAGTTAAAATAGAGTAAAAAGAATAAAAAATAAATTATACGGGAAAGATCGAGTAACACACAAGTTACATTCAACTCTTTTCATTACCGTATAGTACATTTGACACTTTACCTAAAACACCCTTTGCTAAAAAGATAGTAAGAAGCTTAATTAACGCATCGTGTTCCGTTCGCTGCTAATCCGATAAAAACGAATAACTAGGAGGGCAAAAATGCAAGTTAAGGTTCACAAGGGTTTTGTCCCCGTTTTTGGGTGTTCTTCCAAAGCCGTGCGTGTTTCACCTATCCGTAGCAAGCCGTAGATGTATATGATAAAAGCTTATCGAAGCACGATTCTTTCCTTCTAAAAGAGAAAAACGAAACATTCGAGCCGCTCTCACAAAAAAAGAAAAAAAAAAAGAAAGAAATGAAATGTAACACGACGCCACGTAACGTGTAAAAAAGTATACTAACCTGGTGGGGGTGAAAAATACCGCCTCAAAAAATCGCATCGTACTCTCCAAAAGCGGAGAGGAAAAAAGAGCGATGAGATATTTTCTAAAAATTTTCTTATCTCATTTTTTACACTGCTCACCGGTCGCTCAATGAATCGCAATACACTTAGAAATTCGCCGCGAAGTACGAGTTATTCCTGTTAATCATTACGAACTCGTGGCCATCATCAAGACTGCACGAAACACAGGTCTTTTCTACAGGGTTTTTCTACAGAGTTTCTCTACGGAATCTATATCGCTATCTATCTACTGCTACGATTCTACTGGTTCGAAAATTACTTTAATCCGGTTAATCAATGCGTCACTGTCGAAGGAAAGAATTATAATTATATTTGGTTGGTGGAGAAGTAACGAAGAGCAAAGCGATTGGTACACAATTTCATTGTTTTCATAATTTTATTCTATCTGAATTTCTGCTGCGTTCTTTGAGTTGTTTTCGATACAAATCCATCGTTAAACAATTCTTTAACTTATTTATATCTTTTCCATCTACGTAATTTTTAGTAAAGGTTAAACAATGCAATGGGATTTATCGTAATATTTAGTATCTGTTACATTATTTATTGTAAAATAGTGACTATTTGAAATTGTTCCTTTTAGTGCTATCAAAGATCAAAGTTACTTTTCCATCAACTCGGTATTATAATTGATAAGCAGGTAAAAGTTTGAGGTTGGGGGGATCGGATTGAGAGAGAAGAAAAAAGTACATGCCATCTCCTGAAAAAGATAGAAATTTTTGGATCTAGCTGAAATTAATTATCGCTTGTTAGTCGGAGGAAAAGAATACTTCGAATACGCGTGCGTAGTAAAGCATATATTAATTGGAGTGTTTGGGTCAATTGCTCCACATCGTCCTTCTATCTCCTATATTCGATTCTTTTCTCCATTTTGTCCTCGTTTATGATAATATAATAATAACGAATATAAAAATTAAGAAATTGAATAACGAATGGAGATAAGTGACGATATTGGATCGAATAGATCAATGGTAAAAAATTAGAACGCGCAAGCGTCGAGAGAAAATTTCCAGCTTTTTCAAGTTTGGCGGCCATATTGAATTTCCTTTTATTCACTCCTTTTGCTTTCCTTTTTTTCACTTTTCTTCTATTTATAAGTCTCACGACTATTTTTTCTCTGATGAATTCAGCCTTTTACCACAATTATTACGATCGAATCGCCGTCATACGCTCTTCCTTTCTATATTTTTCTTCCGATTACCTATCCAAATCGTTCATTTATTTTTGTTCTTTAATTCATCTCTCGTTCTTTTCGATCCAGATTAGTGTAATCAAACTGCGACCTCCACCTCAGCTGCAAGAGTTAACACGTCCTAAATATCGTTTGCCGTCGTGGACAAAAGCGAAAAGACAAAAAGTTCCTTCGATTATACAGCGAAAAAGGAAAAATCAAAAATGGCGTCGGCGAGGGCAACGCTCCTGGCGAAACGCAACGAAAAATATCGCATTTGAAAAAATATTCGCCCGCGTATAATTAGAAAAATTGTCTCGCAGTAGCATAAAATCGAAAAAATAAAAATATGCCGTATCTTGAAAAGTAAAAAACGATCGCTGAAAAATTATTAGCCAAAAAAACGTTCGTTCGTTGAGTCACTTGAGTTTATTGGAAATTTCATATGCATATACAGTGTGTAGCAGCTTTCTCGTGCTTATTACAAAGCGATTCGTATTCTCGATCCGTCGCATTGGCCACTGTTTCAGGATGGCTTCGATCATATTTCCTTTCCCATGCTTTCGAGAACCGTGGATAGTCGTGACATTCTCTCGACGATCGTCTGAACACATCGATGAAGAACAATCCAGGCACGTGCGCATGTGTGAAATCGTTGCTTTCGTTTCTTTCTTTCGTTTTCGTGTCGATGAGGGAAATGGGATAAAAATGTGATGCAGGCGTATTATTAGTATGTTAAGTACGCTTTGCATGATTCCAGCTAATTACCATACGCAACTGTATACTTGGATCTGATTTTTGTGTACGATTCGTGCTCACCGTACACTATGAACGAAAAGTGCGAAATTGATTTTAGAAGCTCTACCGGGGAAAAATAAAATTAGAGAATTATGGAAAATAAGAATTTAGTGAGAATACTTCGTACGTGTAATCAACTTGTTACTTGTTCTTAATTGGTTATTCATCCTAATAAATGAAGGGTTACGCGTAAAAGTAATTTTATATAGGGATTTTTTTTATGAAACAATCGAATGGTAAAGTGTAAAGAATACGCAGGTAAGTACTTTTGGTTGATAGTGTACCACTCGGAAAGAAGAAATCACTAGTTTAATCACTTGGAGATATTAATGTAAATTCCAGGATAAGGACGATATTATTTGTGTACCGTTAAGCAAATGTTAAGAGTTACTTCTTAATGTCTCAGCAATTAATATCTTGACCTGTGGCAGTTGCAGTTGTACGAACGCTCGATACACTCGATATTAAAAGTCAAATATTTTTCTATCGCGTCTATTTCTCCTAAGGTGAAGATCATCGATAATAGTCAAAAATAGAACGATAATAAACAAACTTGCAATGTTTATCAATATCACACTTCACTGTAAGGTTACCAAGTTCGAGATACTAATCGCTAATCACATTTATTGGGAGCGTATCGGGTATAGTTTAGACAGTGAGTAGGTTAGTATCGCGCAAGATGTCAGTATCCTTTCTTCGTATGCAATGACGAAGTCGCACTTTTGTAGTAAGCGTGTTTCGTTGTTTAGTTTCTCTAGTCTGCCAGTGTCGTGCAATTTGTTGTCGCCTAAGGTCGCTCAAATCGACGATGCGATTGAGTAAAAGCCACTTGTTGGGACTAGTGCCTGGAAAGAAATTAGGATCAGAGCTGCATGCGATTCGTTTGTTCCCATTTAACGGGCGGTTGCTTAGCTCGCAGATATTTTCTCGTTTATCTGGACAACGACGAGCAACGTGAATGATGATGATGATGGTGGTTTCGTTTTCTCGGACGACGCAAGAGGTATGGAGAATAAAACGTATGAGCGTGAGAGATCAGTGAGCCGTGTGATCGATGATCGATGAACGATGATCCATGATGCCTGGCCACGTTTCTGTCAGTCGTTCGGTCGTTGATCGTCGCCATTTCCATCCATCGACACTTCCATTGTTGACGACATCGAACAACACGAGAGACATCCACCGATTTTTAACGGACAATCGTATTAATGGTATTAATTATATTAATCTAATTGTTAATTCACGGTTTTCTGCTGCTTCGGTCGAGCTTGCTATCGCTTAGTATACGTCGACACTTTCTACGTTTAGTTTGTTTTAATGTCTCCACGCTTTTGTTTAAATTTGTAGTTTTTTTCCAAAATAGAGATGGGCATTATGTTTGCTGACTATTTACAGTTTAGTTCATTATCTCTATCGTTACTGAGAATCGTATACGTAGACTATCTGTAGTCTGACGAAAATTAATTAATCGCTCAAGGCCATTCAATAGTAAAACCTCATTATATGTCTAGTTTCTGTCATTGAAAGCAACTATCGTTTGTGCTATGTCACGTTATTACATATTTGTATATTTCGGAATTTTTATTTCGTTCTGATATAGTAGTTATATAGTATAGTTATTCTGTTATAGTATAGCTGCGTAATTATGCGAAAGAAACACGCGTTAGTGCCGACATGTGCTATTTCTGGTGCTGTGAAGCAGCCTTGAGTGGCCAATTAATTTTTGACAGACTATAGCACACCAATTCGTTGGGTAGATGTACTGCTATCTCTTTATTAAAACTGATTATTCACTGATTATTCAATTGCAAACGTATGTATCGTATTATTATTTATTTAGTCACGAAGAGATGCAACAACGCGGTTACGTTGGCGATTAAACGTGCGATGCGAAAATTATATCTGTTATATCGATACCACGATCTTCGATCAGATGCTATCTACGCTCGAATAGTACGTAAGTCTCTAACAAACATGTCTATCACCACGACCTAGTTAATCATTAATTGGTTACCAAAATCATTTCTAGCCCATCTCTGATGCAAAGATAATTATTGTAATTAATTGAACACCAGCGAACACCAATGGGAGCGTCGGTCATCAGTGGATGTCAAGCTGCTCCTCGGTCACATATAGTCGAACTATTCTTTTACTTTCCTTTTATTAAAAACAGAAAAATCTATTTCAAAAGGCGCAAAAGAAAAAGAAAAATGAATCGTATAATCGCGAGGCAAACAAGTCTTGAGGTATATTCAACATAATTATATATATTTTTTTATACGTATGTATAGATGCATGTTTTCGTATAGCGACATTATAAGTATAATAACTTAGATACAAAGTGTACGGAGTAGAGTAAATTAATATTACACATATTATGGCATGGTTCTGTGTACGTGAAGAGAAAAGGTATTCAGACACGGATTGTAGATAAAATATGAACTCGAGGTGAATTAAATACGATTCGAAAAAATTCAAAACACGTACGTGTCCAAAAGTGCATACGCATTTCACACGTCGGATGGGGATGACACATAACAATACAAAGGTATTTTTTTTTTTCTTTTTTCGAAGGATTGGGAGCATCCCATGTATGTATATTTTCAGTTTCCTTGCTTCGCTTTTTACTCATTTTCACTTCGTTTCTTTTTTTAGTCACGATGGAGTGCAAGCAAAGGTGGAGGGCTCTTTTCATAAGGATACGAGACGGATCCTCCAGGATGGCGTTTCTGGCTTCTGAGAAAGGCCTTGGAGGGAAATATTCGCGGACCGCCAAATATTTACACCTCCGACAAAGTTAATGTGTCTTTACATCCTTCCTTTTCGTTCGTTTATTTATTTTCGACTTTCAAAGTTTTAACTTTTATCTTAACTTATTCGTCTATCCAACAGGCAGAAGCCAAAAGCACCTGGTTACAAATTACTGACAAGAACTTTGACAAGAATTATCAACTAAAGGAAGAAAACTCCGAGAACGAGCGGTTATAATTAATTAATTAATTGGATTCAACGACGATAATGCTTTCGTTCCACATTCTCATGCGTTTCTTCGTTCATTCTCTTTTTCGTTCTCACTCAGGTCTTTTTTGCTTTCATTCGTATCTTTTTGTCGTTTCCGTTTTTTTTTCTTTTTTTTACTTTTTGGCACTAGAATTTTTATAATTATATTTTCTCTCTCGTTCGTAAACGTTCGAGACGCGTGTTTACAACAACGTTTAAACTTTCCAAACTTTTCTTTTCGTTTCGTTTCGCGCTTCTTTTTCTTTCTCGATTCTTTCTGTCTGATCTTTTCTGTGGTTTTTATAATTACTTTTTTGATTTGGTTTTACGACGTCGTTCACTCTCTTTGGTTTGGACTTTTGCTCAGAGTTCTTTAGTACGTACCGGGGATGAAGCGTTCTACAGGTTTGTATTGATGCGGGTAGATCTGCCTCGGTGTGTAACCGTAGATCTCACGGTGGACGGGCAGGTACCTTCAGGGAATAACGTTTACTTTAATAAAAAAAAAGTTTGCTTCGTCTTATTATTTAAGATGATAAATAATATTATTCAAGATAATTATTCGAATAAATTAATCGTTGTAAAGCTATTGCCAGATTGTAAGAACATTTTGTCGTTGCTCAAGTGTGTATAAGTAATAGAAACACGCAAACATCTTTTACATCGACTCTGAGATTTTGCAACATTTCATAAGGTTATTCTATAAAAATGTTCGTCATTACATTTGACGATGTATTGTTTTATTAGTAGTAGTTTTATTATGAAAAACACGTTAAGATGATCTTTCTTTTATCTTTTATCGCACGAGTGGCTTGCCTACCTAATTAAATTATTTATGTTATCAAAGTTTCAACGAAGTATCTATTCTTAAGCATCGATTGAAATATTGTTAGTTAACGAGTTTCAAAGGTACTCCAAGAAATCTTACCTGTATCCAGGAACGTTGATGCGATCAGCCGCATGGATGGGGGTTTCAAAGATAGACTTTCCAAATGGCCACGAGGTGGATAGCTCAGGATAATCTGAGCGGAAAATGCTGCGAGGTCTGTGCGTGTGTTCAGGGGCTCTCATATCGTCGGTGCCTGTAAACAGTAATAGTTTTATAGGCTGTTCGTTCTTAGCCCCCTGTAAACACCATACCAAAAGTATCGTACAAGACAAATTGCGACAAGTATACATGCTTAAAAAATCTCTCAATTATTACAAAATTTGGAAGTTACGTGATTTCGTTTGAAAAAAAGTGAGAAGGGAATGAGAAGCACGAAAGAAATTAAAAGAACTAAAATTTCGTTCAAAAAGAATTTGATATTATAAAAATTGAACATACATCAAGCTGATAGAGGAGAAACTAACTTTTTTCAGCAACGATCGAGTTTAAATTGAAAGCGAATAAACGTTAAAGTTAAAGTCTGTTCGCGTTAAATTTCTTAATTCCAGGTAATGCACGAAGGAGTACCTTTTAAGGCTCGAACGTAACTCTGCCAGAATTTGGCCTTCCTTGTGATGGGCTCGTTGCGCCCGATCATGTCGAGATTGCTTCTAAAGCGCGCGTCCATTTTGCCGCTCTACTGAACTGCTAACCACACTCGTTCGCTAAAATAAACGAACGTAAATTACTTTTAGCGTTTTTATAATTCAACGCGTGAAGATATCCGATGATCTAATTTGTTCGCGTTAGGGAGGAAAGATCGACGATTTTGATTCAGATTCGATGTAGGAATTGCTCTTCGTTGGTATAAATCTTGTATGTTAGCGATAATGCAATTTCTGAAACAGATTAATCGTTAATCGATGTAACACTACGTATTCTTTTGTCAGTTAATCATTTGCGGAATAAAAATGGTTACAATAAATGTCTAAGGTGAGAGAAAAACATTGCGTAAGTGCATGTTAATTATAAAATACGATGTCTTCGATATTTCAAATTTAAAATACTTCAGCGTGCCAAATTTCAAATGTTTAGAATATATAATATTTCTCAATAAGATCGCTAGAAATATCGAAGAGCGATAAACTTAAATAGAAGACTACAATTTCTTAGAAATACAGTTTTCACGGAAATTTGTAAATATAACGGTATGTGTATAATCGATCTTGTAAACAACAAGGAATTTCTAAATTTGAAATACATAAAAAAAAACAGCGCCGTAAAATATATCTTTTCGCTAAGATTATGTTTACATTAAAATTTCCCTGTTTGGTATCTGGGATAGTATCTAACAAGTATGAGGATAATAATGCCACAAATTTAGGGCTTGTAATGCTAGCAGACAGTAAACGCGCTAAAAATAAGAAACTTATGGACGATAATTTGCAAAGGTGTTTGTTGGCATCCTGTCGCTTTCTAAGTATAGCGGACGCAATTTTTCGCGGTCGATTTCTTCATCATTCTTGTTAAACCAGATTTTATAATTATATATATTTACAACTACTATTTAAAACTGGCAGTAAAAAATAGACTTCATTAACACTTTGTACCATACTACTCGGTATTAACACCTAATGCCATCTAGTGCCAAGATTAAAATCACATTAGCGTATTACGTTTTATATTTAATAAAATTTAAAATTTATAAACTTATTTTTTCTTAATTTTATTCTATATAATACATCTGCCAATGTCCAGAAATATATTTTTAAATATAATACCTATATATAATATTACATTAAATATATAGATATACATATCTAGATAGAAACGTTAAACATCAATGAAATGTTTCATTGAATAAAATACGAAAGCTCGAATTTGGTGCTCGTATTTGAAAAGCACGTACTCGTCCTGTTTTCGAATAGCGAATGGTATTACGTGTATTACGATTGGTTGCGGCATTCCTCGGATCAGCCAATCGAGGACTGCGACACAAACAGGAGCATCGGCTTTTCTTTTTGTTGACGCAATGGTGCCGCTAAATTTAGAAACGCGCGCACTTCATACTCGGCCTGGATCATCCGAACGCTTTCGCATGTATTCCTATTTCATTCTCGGCAAGAGCGATCGAAGGTCATCGGAAATAAATTTGGAATACGTGATCTAAATCAACGGTCCATTAATGCCTGATTCTGGCGACCGAGTTAATTTCCTCGTAATTACATAGTTTGGTTAATCACCGAACGTATTTCTGCGTAGTAATCGAATGGAACGTCGAAACTTAATGAATGCTTCTACACTTTGTCGAACCGTTTCCATTAAGAATTACGATCAGGTATCTGGAGAATTATTTATATCTACAGTGGCTACAAAAAGTATTTGCACATATTTTTATTTTAGCAGTTTTACGTTTTATTTTCAGAGTATCAAATTTTTGTCGTTGTATCAAAGTATTACTAAATGATACAAAACTTATTGCTATACTTTAGTAATTTTCTATAGTTGGATCTATTTAATTGGTATAAAAAAGATAAATGCTATAATAATTACTAAATAGAATGACATGTAGATACTTTTTTGCTCTCTGTATATATTAAGGAATAACTTTCTATTTGACAAATTTTGGGATATGGATTTAGATACAAAAAATCTATATAATTGTGTAAAGACGTGAAAATTCTCAGGTAAATTAGCTACTGTGTTATTTGAGTACTATAAGTTGTTTTAGAAACAAACGTTTTATTGCTGTGATTCTTTTCATAATTTGAAGAAGTTGGCGCCACTTATCTTACAATATAATTGTTACCAACCTTAAAGTACGACTCTGTACTTAATGAAATAAATTAATACAAAAAATTGAAAATTTATAATATAATTCTTCTTTTTACCGAAGAGAAGAATTATATAATGCATTTTAGTATCGAATAATAATTTGTGTTATTTGAAATTTTTGAAATTTATGCGTATGAAAATTTGTTTCATAGAAGTTTGCAAGACTGAGTTTGAAACGTTGCTTGACCCTTCGGCCACAAATGTAAAGTGCAATTTTTCGTAGTGTGTTAATTAAGTTTTTAACGGTCAAATGGCACAAACCATACGCAAAATCAGTAATATCTATCAAAGGTAATTGTTTTTTAATATACCTGTTACTCAAGAGATATAAATATAATAAAATTGTAACGAAAATTTCATAGTTTGCAATTTTGTTACATTTGAGTAGAAATTTATCAGTGATGTATATTATACTGTTAAATATTTGCGTATATTTCAATATAAAGCTTTCTAAATGGTAATAACTTTAATATTATTACGAAAATAAGAAAATTAATATGAATTAATGTATATGAAAAGTAGAGACATTTTTCTTTCGAACGAAAGTCGATACCTTGCTTTGTCGTATTTGCACAAACATATATATGTATATACATAATTAATAGTCATTCAAAATGTTTTATGATGAAAAATTCATCTATGATGTAATTCGGAAAATATCTTAGTATGTATGCATGTACGTATATATGATTCTTTTTCGTAAGATAAAATAGAGCAACGAATAATATTATATCGTACTAACAGGTGTCTCTGCAGGTTGCATCAATGGAGCCAGTGTTGCAGTTTACAGAATGCAATCAAGAAAAGGTATGTGCAATTTCTGTTTTTTGGTAGATTGTTATTACATACCACAAATTTGAAGGTACTGCGTGCGTTGAAGCTAATATTTTGTACTTTAATCTTTTGCTTTCACCAGTAAATGAAATAATAGATTGTGAATAATGATAGCTCTCTGATAAAAGTATACAAAAATGAATTATGATTTTCAAATAACCGAAACACGATTTTATTGAACAGTAACGACGTTCATCACTCGACTGCAATTAAAGAAATGCAGGTCATGAACCCAGGTAGAAATTTATTTTGCTCTCGAAATGTTCCAATAAGTACTTAAGGTATGTTCTATGGTATTTTTGCATAATATATTTAAATCTCCTATAAATGCACAAACACCTACAATACAATCATTATATTACAGAACAATCTAGTATCAAATCGATGCTTCTTATCGTACTATACTTTCTATCATCTATGAACGAGTTCGTAGCGAATGGAAAAGGGAAAATAAGAAAAAGCTCGGTGGTCGTGGACGCAGAATGATGCGTCGCGTCGCGTCGTGACGTAAGAGTCCCGGATTCGCGGTCGCTATATTTAGGCTGCCCGGGCCCCGGTCCGTTTTTAGTTGGAAACAGGTGGACATCCAAGCTGTGCGAAGGCAGCATAGTCGACGAGTCTCTGGCTGACTTTGACCGATTTTCGCGAACCCCCCACCCCCCTTCCCCATCGGAATGGGCTCCTTTATGCCCGCGACGACGATAATGACCCATAAAACAACACGTGCCCACCCTTCGGTCCATAGGATTCCATGCGCGGCTAATTAGAGAATTTATTTGTTCAAATCGTTCAAGATCACCTCGACTCATTTAAAAGTTTATTGCTTAAGAGTGTTTCGATAATTTGATAGTTTATATACCTGCAAGGTGGATATCAAGGAAAATTATTATTCTGAGTGAGTTGAAGATGAAATACCTTGTATTCAGAATTCGCTCGAATTAGTCTCCTGTTTGAGAGGATATCTGATAGTTGGAGAATGTTTATATATGCAAGAAACGGAGATTTAGAGAACGATTCTACAGGGTAATTCAGCGATGGCAAATTTTTTAGTTATGTCCAAGATGAAAAGAGTATTGTATGGTTCGTAATGTTTGGAATGTTAGCAAGTATGGTAAATAAAAGATATAGCGTTCTAATAATAACGATAGTTTAGGAACGAGCAAGTTTTCTGAGAACTTGTTTGGAATTTCCCAAAGGTTCCCATGTTTCTCGTTTTTCGCGCTAAATCCTTCCAAATAATTTTCATAGTTAAGCTTTTATCATTCTGTTCGTAAAGCTAGTTACATCTAATTAACTAATAACTCGAACTTTTGTTAAATTCCGGTTATAAATATTAACTAACCAACGAATCGAATTTATCTTTTTATTCTTCAACATAACTTTTGCCCAACTCTTCTATCTAACGAACACGCGTGTAATCTAGATGACTGTTAAAAATAAGCAAGACGGGTTCAAGCAAATCATCCGGGGCGTAGGTCCAAAAACTGAAAATACGTGCCGGCCCACGGTGTGACTTTTCGTTTGCTGGCTTACAACTGCGTTAGGTCCTCACCCAGCGCGTTCCACTTCCGTGCGTCATCGTGGACGCGTAATACACGTTTAAATGACGGCCTTTAGAAATTGAATAATCAGAGACGTATGCCAGACTACCGGCCAAACACGTGGATCAACGTCGATGACAGCTGATAGTATTAGGTGCCCCGACACCTGTTACTTCTTTGTTTCATTGTTCCCTGCCAGAACGATCGCGTCAGAATGTATCACGGTTAAGAGTGTTCAAGGCTTAACTGTGATCTACGAATTCTCTAGGTAGGTCGCCACTTTTCAATACGTTTCATGAGAATGTCTCGCGTTTCTTATTATCTTCGAATTAGTTTTGTTACAGAATAGATAGATACAGGGTTCGTAATGTCGTAGCTAATTTTAGGCTGTATGTATATTTCGTTGTAAATTTTAATGGAAACATTTAGATAGAACAATGAACCGGTCGTAAAAGAGCGAACAAGCAGTCAGCTATTTTAAGTATCGAGGTATTTATGTCGAACTTACATAGGTCGATTATTGGAAAGTTTAACATCTGTAAATTCGTACTATCAACTAGTGCAATGTCCTATGTCAGGAGATTCGGACAGTCATTAGTCAGACGACGGAATTCTAACACGAGAACAAGTACTTTCTGCGTACTTTATGCAAGTTGAATTTGAAAAATGAAATTCCATCACAGAAGTTAGATTTTACTGTTATTAAACAACAGAAGAATATTTCTAAAGAAATTGTAAATAAGATTTTTCATCGCTAAAGCGATATTTAAACTTCATTGTTAAAAATTGTATTCCACCGATATTATTGTAATTCAAGAATTAGAGAAAAATGTTGAGAAAATCTTTCAACGATATTGTACAATTTTAAATGAGAATACCAGCAGGAAGCGAATTTAGCGATCGTAATGGCGTGGTCAGAAATTATGTTCACATTGAAAACTTGCCAAAGAACGAATTTTCTAAGTGTGGCGGTTTCGCGTGATCAGATGAAGGGTAGGCGAGAATGTAACAGAGGAAAAGGAAACTTTCGCACATCGGCCTTCAATGTTGAAACTTTAACTATCAACCGAAGACAGCCAGCTCGACACGTTGCGGTGAAACGCTAGAAACCATTTAACCCAGAAAATATCAAACGTCTGGACGTATCAAAAGTTTCCTCTAACGCTGCTCGAGTTGAGGTTCGGAGAAGCTCTTTAGAAATCAATAACGTTAGCTCGATGGAGATACCAAACTTTGTCGATTTTCGACGAATAATTAATTGAGAAATCTCATTTAGCTTGAAATTTCTATCGTTGATATATATATATATATATTTTGGTAGAGTATTTGTTTAGCCCCTTTAATTTTTATAACGAATTCTCAGTGAAATTTGTAAAAAAAAAAAAATAGTGGAGAATATGATGTACTATATAGAAACCTGTATAGATACGTACGAACGTACTAAGTAGATTCAGAGTGCAATTGGTCGGACAAACGAAATCTGGTACTAAAATAAACCATTTTACGTAAAATGATTACAAATACGAAGCAAGTGATAAACACGAAGTAAATTGGAGTTTGCTTATAAATATTGGACCTATCTATGAAACAAATCGAACAAATAGATAAACGTGTTTAATTCTCTTCTTTCAAGACCATGCTCTCCGATATTAAAAAAAAAAAAAAAAAATGAACAACATTTCAAGGATGATAGTAACGCAGTATATTTAACCCTCAACTTGTAGGATGAAATTCGTGCTTGTTATATAATCGGCATATCGAAAAAAAAAATTTTCGGAATTAAAAAATTCAGACCCGGATACTTATTTATATGTTCTGCAATATAAAATGTACGTTATTCTCTTATGGAGAAAATACTTGTATAGCATATATATAAACTTTACAACGTATAACGTTGATTATTATAGTCTTCTAACATGTTTAAAAATTTATTCAATTTAAATCGCACGAATTTAATAAATATAAGGAGAACAGAGAAACGTAGATGACGGACATTAATTATAATTGTTTTGATTCAGAATTGAAGTTTTGTCACGGCTAGAAAGTGGCCTTTTTGCGGCGTTATATTTAGCCCGATGTGGCCGAAAGTAGTGACGCCTTAATTCGGTCAGACGCGTAGTTTAGCTCGTCAAGCGGCGCGAGGCGCCTCTTGGCACTTGTGACGTATTCTATGATATTAAGAGAATGAGCAATCTGGAGCGTGTCACTTTAGCCGTTTATAATTTTATACGCGTTACATCGTCTCAAAAATTTATGACAGTGTATCGCTACTCGCAACTTCTTTTTCTAACGTCAGCACTGAACAAATTCTTACAATTCTGCACATTTTCTACGTCAATATTCGTTTGAATAACTCGCTTTCCCACTTTCTAACCCTAATATTTCCATTAGCCGTAATCTTCTATGAGAACGAGGTTTAGTCCCGCAAAAGGTTCCTAAGCTACTCCGAGTATTCGACTATTTCCTAAAAACAATCGTTGAAAACGTTTCAAAAGCTATCAGAGTGCACGGTGATTTTTATTAACACGTTAACTTCTGTCTGTGAGGAATAGACGACACTCGGAAAATGGATCAACCGAGATGATGCATACGTTTGCTGGGAGAAAAGTGTTTCGCGTGCTTCGACGCTGTCTTAGAATTTGTAGAAATAGAATTATGCCAAATAGTCGTACTATAGTACCAAATAGGTTGAAAAATATCGGTTGACGACCAGCTCTCATTTCCACATTTTGTAGAAACCTAATTATCCTTAATTTATTAGACAATCGACGGTGTCAGCTTATGAATATCGATGCTGCGTATAGTAAAGTACTAAAATCCTATTTATCTCAACTTCATTTAACAGAACGAAATTTCGGTCAGTATAATGAACGTCTGTTATTCAAATGGACGATACGAATGATATTTTATGAATATTATATGGAATTCTAATTGTATGATCCGTTTGTTCCTGCAAGGATCAAATTTGCTAAATTTTGCACTTTTACCGCAACGTATATATATATTAGAAAAAAAAAAGAGTTTCGCGTTTTAACCGCAGAAAGGGAGCGGCTATAACAGACACGTCGGACTTGGCGGCATCCCGCGGATATTTTTATCCCGACAGGCACGCCGCGGCGCGTTACATAACTGCCAAACAAATCGCTGCCAATTATTATAAACAATTCCGTCGGTTGTATGATTGGCACACGCGTACGAGAAACCTCGAGCATCGATGTCTGTGCCTTGTACGTTACCACTACATTTTGAGAAGCACGCGGCAGCAAACGATCGGTCTGCCTCGAATTGGTATGCGATAGCAGAGAAACCGAGACGCGAGTCGCGCCAACTATTGCAAACGTGCTTCCACGAAATTAGAACTTTGATTCGGGACGGTGGTGTTCGCGACTGTATCTTTACGACTCGTTCGATCGATCGATCGTTGAACGCACTGAGTCATTCATATTATCTAAATCTATCGAATCGATTTATAGAATCGTACAATGAAACATTCGTTGTAATATCACTGTTTTTCTTTCTTCGGGACTTGCGATATAGTATTACTTATATATCGTAGTATTCCTTTTTTGTTTCTTAAAGATCGACGATGAAATATGTTTTACATATTTTCTTTTGTTATTAAATCACGCGCAAACATATATTGTTATAATATCGTAGATACGATTATTACTACATATAGATTGGTACAAACATCGTCATGCATGGTATTATCATTGTAAAACATCAGGCGTAAACAGACAGATAGATCATTTTTTCTATTGTCAATGAGACTTCAACGATCATTCGTAAAAATGTGATTTCGTTCATTTCTTTGTTCTCTTACTAGAAATTGAAATTAGAAATTTATCGACGTAATAAAATGGTCCCATGATTCGATCGTTTCTGTCTCGTAAGATTAATCACCACTGTGTACATCAATTTGTCCACAGTGTAATTAGTTCCTCTCGTTCTCGTGGGTTAGTAACATCAATTAGTCTTAAAAAGCACACGTACCAGTGTGAACGAAACGAACCAGTGATACAATCTAAAGTTATTTGCAGACTCGCGTTTAAGTGTACTAGAACAGCGCAGTCTAGGTTAATGGAAGAGCGAATTCCTACTAAATATACGCAGAAGGACAAGCGCAGGCAGGCCCACGTCCAGTCAGGCGTTCTCTCCTATTTTTCGCCCTGTTTTACACTGGCGCGCACACACGGACGAGAATCCTCGATCTTTCCTCTTCGAGCGAATCGTTCCTCTTGGTATCGTCCTCGATCGGTTCAGCCAGATAGAGTGTCGCACTCACGATTTATCTATCTCTTTCCCACCCTTAACGTCCAGATCTTTGTCTCTTTCTCTCTCGAACCAATGAAATAAGTGGTCGCGCGATCGTTTAAAATCCTCGAGCAAAGTCAACTTGTTCTCGTTTTCTTTTCTTTCTCCCGGCAAGCCGAGAACGAAGAATCGAAGTAGAAAAGAAGGAAGAAAAAGAAAGTGGAACAAAAAAAAAGTTGGCGAATAAACTCGACTATGTCGACCGGTGTGCGGTGGTCGATTGGAAATTAGCCCTTTTTTACCTAAGTATTTCGGACGACCGTTCGGTTCGGGGATTGGACCTTAGACTGGGCGGCTGCCGCCAAAAATGTAGACTAGTATACCGAGCGTCGGTACGGTGGCGCCGACCTGTCGGCGAGTTTCCGTGGCT